GGGAGGGAGGGACCGGGGGAGACCAGAGACAAGGTAACGGGAGGCCATGCCTCGGAGACGAGGCAGGGAGGGGTGACCAAGGCGGTGGTGCCAGAGGAGAGTCTGGTGGGACAGGAGACGACACGAGCAGGGAGCAGACTCAGGACCAGACCTGGACGCTGCAGCAAACACCTGACCCGACGGAGCTACCTGACCAGACAGCAACCGGAGGAGACTCAGTAGTCAGTGTGTACAGGCTCGACCCCGGCTGACGGGTAAACGTGGCCAAGTGTCGGCCCGTCCGAGCACACGTACAGTGGGTCACCCGCTGACTCGCAGGAGTGAACTGTTCAACCCCCCCATCCTGTAGATCAGCACCACTCACCAAGTTCGTAGAGAACAAGGGGAGGTAGAGACCTGACAGGGTGCCAAAGGGGGCCGCCGGACACGGTAAGACAGTGGAGAAGTGGGCAAGGACAGGACCCCCAGAGGGGTCCGCCAGGGAGACCGCAACTGGCCGACTAAGCGGCGTAAGCGTGGTGCGGTCTCGAAAGAAGGAGCGGGAAGCACCCGAGTCAAGGGTGAAGGTGTGTAAGGCCTGAGCCGACGTGGTACCTGAGAGAGCAGACTCACCAGCACCTGGGGCACCAGACGCACTAGCACCTAGAGCAACAGCCTCACCAGCACCTAGAGCAGCAGCCTCAATGCCCGGGTCAGGCGGAACACACAGGTAACAGTCACCCTCATCACTAGTAGACACAACATACATGACAGCAAGAATGGCATCATAATCTAGATCAAAGCTAGCAACCCCCGACCTAAGCAGCTCGCCCCAGCGGGGGATCTCAGTGGCGTCAGGGAACTGGAGACGCCAAGCGTCCGTCAGGCGGCCGAAGCAGCGCTGGGTGGTGTGCGGGCCACCGCACGGCTCACCAGTGCGGTCGCCGGTACGCAGGACGTAGGCACAAGGACCTGCACCCCCACCCCGCTGACGCGCAGCGTACCACTCACGAAGCTGCTGGGGGGGCGGGGTCTCACGAGTGCGCTGCTGCTGCTGGCGCTGACCACCACCGAAGCCGCCCCGCTGCGCAGAGCCACCCCGACCAGCTCCACCTCCGCCGCCGCCACCACCGCCTCTCCTCCGCTCCCACCGCCACCGCCGCCGCCGCCTCCGCCTCCACCGCCGCCACCGAAGCCCCCACCCCCGCCACCACTCCCACCGCCACCCCCACTCCCTCCGCCGCCTCCACCGCCACCTCCACTGCCCCCGCCAGCCCCTCCAGCGCCCTTGCCCCCCTTGCCCTTACCGGTGCGGCGTCTCCCACTAGGGGCAGACGCAGCGCCGACCGACTCGGTGCCAACGAAGTCGACGGCAGCAGCAGAGGCAACAGAGGGCAAAAGGGGGGAGGGGGAGCACCCCTCAAAGAAGGGGGCACGGGGGTCACCACGAGAGGCTCCTACAGCGACTATACTCTTCTCAGCTGCCAGGAGGCGCTCCTCGAGGAGGTCAATGGTGAGTGTGGTGGGGCAAACAGAGAGGAAGTGGTCCCAAACCGATCGAAGGGAGTCAGGGAGCCGGGTGACTATGTAGTAGAGGGTGATGTACATGGGGGGGGGGTTCTTGGCGCAGAACTCAGCAGGAAGCGCAGCGCGGTAGCGGGTGTCACTAGTGCGAAGGTGCGTAATGAGGTCAGCGACAGTGGGAAAGGCGGCGAGGTCAGGAAACAGGTATGGCAGCATGAGGCGGCTAAGGGCAGCAGTGGCAGGGGAAGAGTAGCGTGCAACTACAGCATCGTACAAGGTCTTAGCACTCTTGAGATCATCGACCCAGACCTCAAAGTCAACAGCCCGACCCTCAGCATCAAAGACTAGAACGCTAGGGGTAGCCATGACAGCAGTGGCAGCAGGCTAGGGGCAGCAGTAGCAGGCGTGGCTCGGCAGTGCTCTCACCAGGGCTGGTAGGTAGGGGCCGGCAAGCGGTGGGGCAGGGCCGAGGCACGTCGGCAGGGACAGAGCCGCGACCGCGGCGGCAGCTCCTGCTGTCAGTGGCGGCGGCAGTCACGGCTGGCGGCGGCGACGGCTGCTGCTGTCGGCGGCCGCCGCTGCTGTCGGCGGCGTATGCTGCTGTCGGCTGCTGCTGGCGGCGGCGGTGGCTGCTGCTGGCGGCGGCTGCAGCTGGTGGCGGAGGAGCCGAGAAGGGGCCGGGAAGGGTGGCGACGGAGCCGAGAAGGGGCCGCGAGGGGCCTCGAAGGGCGGCGACGGGGCCGCTAGGGGCGGCGACGGGGCCGCGAAGGGGCCGCGAGGGGCCTCGAAGGGCGGCGACGGGGCCGCTAGGGGCGGCGACGGGGCCGCGAAGGGGCCGCGAGGGGCCTCGAAGGGCGGCGACGGGGCCGCTAGGGGCGGCGACGGGGCCGCGAAGGGGCCGCGAGGGGCCTCGAAGGGCGGCGACGGGGCCGCTAGGGGCGGCGACAGGGCCGCGAAGGGCGGCGACGGGGCCGTAACGGGCGGCGAAGGGGCTGCGAGGGGCGGAAACGGGGCCGCGAGGGGCGGCGACGGGGCCGCTAGGGGCGGCGACGGGGCCGCGAAGGGTGGCGACGGGGCCGCTAGGGGTGGCGCGAGGGGCCGTGAGAGGGGCCTCTAGGAGGGCGCGACGGGCCACTAAGGGCAGGGGACGCGACGAGAGGGCGGCCCACGGGGCGCGACTCGGGCAGGGGCGACTCGCGCTCCGGTCAGGAATTTTTTTTTTTTTTTTTCGATTTTCTGTGGTGGGCCCTAGGAAGCGTTCCCACTAGGGAACCTGCTCTATACCATGTGAAGAAATGAGGAATGATTTACTAGAGGAAAGGGTTGGGTACAAGTACAAACCCTAGAAATGTGTTGTACCCCATATGTGCTATCCCACTGTAGCCTACACAGGCTAAGTCATATAAGTCTGACAATTCATGCCTATCAAAGTTTAGATACAATCATCCGTAAAGTCTCCATACATACAATTCTAATTCACTGGATATAATCGGACCACAGTGAAGCCAAAAATGTTTATTCCAGTCTGGCAAATTTTAATTCTTACTGAGAACCCTACCTCAACCTCCAGTTTCTATGTTTTTATGCAGCAAAAATGACGGATCAAACTGTAGTCGTCCTTGTTACGAATCGTTATGCATTCGCGCTAACAACGAATTCAAAATCCGGTCAATGAACCGATAATTTGCGCGTCAGTTTTTTTAATGAGCGCGGTCAAATATGATCGCAATCTTTAATGGTGCCGCCTGATTGGACGTGCAATGGCAACAATTGCACCGTACATATCTTTGACGAATCATGCGCGCGCATTAGGGGTGTTGTGGTTTGTTGCAGGTCAATAGAAGTATGTAATCAGGGATTTATATGCTCGATCGCTGATTGGTTACGGATTTGACCTAGTGCTCATTGGTCGTGCATTTGCCCGAAATTGAGCGCGCATTTACTGTTGGTCGGAATATTTGTCGGTTTCTTGTACAGTGAGCGGACCACGTTCGCGCCCGCCACCCTGGCAAAAGTTTCGGGTGGGGACTAGTAAGAAACAATATTGCGGGATGATACTCGTGCATTTCGGGGCTACAAACCTCCTAAGGGTAATGTTTCATGGAAAAAAACACCCCGAAAATGCCCTGGCGTGGCCACTCGAGTAATTATCACCAAATTTGGTGACCACTAGAGTAATTCGAGGCCACGCGAGTAAGGATGAATCACCGAACAGGGTTTGACAGTAATTCTCTCTGGGGAAACTGATGATTTCCAACCAACCACCAAACTAATCCCCAAAGGTCGCGACAGCAGCGACGAGAACTGAGCGACGCGGTAACTTTCGTTCCCATGCTTTTGCGATGCATTGGCGAGACACTGCCGCACAGTTGGTTGGTGAGATGAAACATCAAGCCAATTGCGGTGGAGCATCGTGCGAGCTTGCGACTTGGATGTTCGACTTACATGACCTGGAAAAACACAATTTCGTCTGGTTCCCCGATTTGTCAAAAGCCAAAGCTGCGAAAACCCTTGAGCGTTACCTCCCTTCGTCAGGCCGTAAAAAACAGCTCAAAAGCGCGGGATCGTCAATGAATCGGCACAACTGGTCACATAGACTGGCAATTTCGAGGGCGTGTTACCACCACCTCCATTTCGTCAACGTTTGCAACTTTGAGAGTCACTCATTTTCGAAATTTTCGAGAGTTTCGCCTACCAGTCAAATCTGTCCTCCTCTTCCAGACCATGTTGGTCGGACGACCTGTCCCGTCCCGTCAAGTGTTCAATACGCTGCGAAATGGATCACGCAGTGATGGGATGGAGGACAGAAGCAGGGTCACCGAGACTGGTTGCCGTACTTTCTTCTATCATCCCTGGAACAAACATTTTCCGCTTCACGAAATCTTTCTCTTCTCATGGGCGTAGACGGGATTGGCGTTTTGAGTTGACGGTTAGAAGGTGACGAGAATGCTTGTAGACAAGGTTGCAGAAGGATAGAAATCAGTCAACGTCAATCTTTTCGTCTACTACGCATCTCTATTACGTACGTAGTGTCGGTGCAGAGGTACCATTGGCGTTGGACTCTATCACAGCCAGGAATCGCTAGACGAGAAACCCGCTCTCCAGGATGACGCGACTGAGTAGAGCAAGAGTGACGGAAGTAAAACGCAAGGCAGGTCAGATCAAATCGCCTGAATTCCTCGAACAATCTCTTTTTCGCGTGACAAGTTATGACGTTACGGGACGCCATCTTGCGTGGAGATCCTCCATGACGTCCCGTCACGTGGAACGTTGCGACCGGATTTTCCCGGACGACGTGACCTCCGCCGCGCGGCTTTGCTTGTCAATGGAATCCTTGCTGCCGCGGAGCCGCGCGTTGAGGATTGTCGAAGGAGAAACTCTGCGAATCTGGAATGGGTGTTGAGTACAAATTGACGAACTCAGTCCTCATTTAATACATATCAGCTCAACTTGCACTACAACCAAATAGAAAGTTGTGTAAGATTCTGTTAACCGCCATGGCTACTGCTGCATCGTCCAACCTGCATCTGCGCTTCGTCTGGAAGTTTTTGGTGGTTGCTTTCACGCTGATTCTCTCAGGTAAGCTTATCCTTTTCAAATCTAATAGTAAGCTTCAGCACTTATCATAGCACTCATTTGGCACTTTATTTTCACCTGTCTGTATCACTCACCACTGATCTCAAGTCGCTTTATATCCCACCAAGCCGCGTGCGTCTGAGTCTCCTATTCTGCTCCCACCCTTGGATCCTTCCCTAGCAGGGACATCCCTGGCCGTGGCATCTCATGACAAGCGGGGGGGAACAGTTGGGACAACAAGTGGTCACGACGCAGTGTCTGATGCTGCAAGCAACGCCATGGGAACCCAGTCGCTCGTTTTCAGGCATCGCAGCCTGCTCAGCTCCACCCCGCCAGAGCCCCTGCCTGTTGAACCTCCCGCCTCGCTGCAGACTGCCACCATCCTGCTCAGCTCCACCTCACCACAGCCCTTACCCTTGCCCGTTGACCCTCTTGACTCTCTGCCAACTGCCACGAGCTTTGGTGGCGGAGGAGAGATGAGCCCTCCTCCCCCCCCACCTTCTCCTCCTTCGGGGGGATGTTGTAGCTGATGTTGTGACTGTGGCTGTGGCAGTGGCAATGGTGGTGGGGATGGGTCCAACGGCGGGGACAATGGCGATGGCAATGGCAATGGCGGGAATGGCAGTGGTGATGGCGGTGTTGTTGGTGGCATCTGGTCGCATGTGGCCTCGTGGCTGCACATTCTTGGCGGTGATGGGAACAATGGCGATGGTGGTGGGGACGGTGGCAACGGGAACGGCAACGGAAACGGCAACGGTGACGGTCAATGGCAACGGCGACGGTAACGGCAATGGTTGTTGCTGCTGCTGTGGCAATGGCAACGGTAATGGCAATGGGAACGGTTGCGGTAACGGCAATGGCAACGGCAACAATATCAACAATGTCTATCTCAATGGCAATGGAAACGGCAATGAAAATGGCAATGGTAACAGCAATGGGAATGGCAACGGTAATGGGAACGGGAACAGGAACGGCAATGGCTGTTGCTGCTGCTGCTGCTGTGGCAACGGCAATAGCAATGGCAACGGTAACAACAACATCAATGTCAACAGCAACGGCAACGGCAACGGAAACGGCAACGGAAACGGCAACGGCAACGGAAACGGCAATGGCTGCTGCTGCTGCTGCTGCTGCTGCTGCTGTGGCAATGGCAATGGCAATGGCAACGGAAACAACAACATCAATGTCAGCAGCAACGGCAATGGCAATGGCAACGGTGATGGAAATGGGAACGGCAATGGCAATGGCAATGGCTGCTGCTGCTGCTGCTGTGGAAATGGCAATGGCAATGGCAACGACAACGGTAACAACAACATCAATGTCAACAGCAACGGCAATGGCAACGGCAACGGAAACGGAAACGGCAATGGAAACGGTGATGGGAATGGGAACGGGAACGGCAATGGCAGTGGCTGCTGCTGCTGCTGCTGTGGCAACGGCAACGGCAATGGCAACGGAAACAACAACATCAATGTCAACAGCAACGGCAATGGCAATGGCAACGGAAACAGAAACGGCAATGGAAACGGTGATGGGAACGGGAACGGCAATGGCAACGGCTGCTGCTGCTGCTGCTGCTGTGGCAATGGCAACGGTAATGGCAACGATAACAACAACGTCAATGTCAGCAGCAACGGCAACGGCAACGGAAACGGCAATGGCAACGGTGATGGGAATGGGAACGGCAATGGCAATGGCAATGGCTGCTGCTGCTGCTGCTGCTGCTGCTGCTGCTGTGGCAATGGCAATGGCAACGGCAACGGTAACAACAACATCAATGTCAACAGCAACGGCAATGGCAATGGCAACAGAAACGGAAACGGCAATGGAAACGGTGATGGGAACGGGAACGGCAATGGCAATGGCAATGGCTGTTGCTGCTGCTGCTGTGGCAACGGCAACGGTAACAACAACATCAATGTCAACGGCAATGGCAATGGCAATGGCAATGGCAACGGAAACGGCAACGGAAACGGAAACGGAAACGGCAACGGAAACGGAAACGGCAACGGAAACGGAAACAGAAACGGAAACGGAAACGGAAACGGCAATGGCAATGGCAATGGCTGCTGCTGCTGCTGCTGTAACGGCAATGGCAATGGCAACGGAAACGGCAACGGAAACGGCAACGGAAACGGAAACGGCAACGGAAACGGAAACAGAAACAGAAACGGAAACGGAAACGGAAACGGAAACGGCAATGGCAATGGCTGCTGCTGCTGCTGCTGTAACGGCAATGGCAATGGCAACGGTGGTGGGAACGGTGATGGGAATGGCAATGGCAACGGTGGTGGCGGTGGGTCTGGCATTCACGGCATCGGCTTCATTCACAGCAAGTTCAGCGCTCACAGCAACAGCAGCAGCGCCAGCCGTGCCAGCCGTGCCAGCCGTGCCAGCCATGCCAGCCGTGCTAGCAGGACCAGCAATGCACGTGCCAACCGCCTCACTTGACGAGGAAAGCTTTTCTGATTGCTTCTTGTTGCTTCGTGTTTTCCAGCATCTGATGTTTTCCAAGAGCATCTAATGAATGGTTTATGCACCACATCAAGTTTTGTACTTCTGTTCTCTTGTGTTCACTTGATACAGCAAGCTGCAGGGTGTAACGGTGCAGAATCTGTCTCATGCACTCACTGTGGGAGCCTAAGTTCTATGTGCGGGAAGCATGGAACGGGTGGGGCATATGGGATGACTTGGGTGTGAAACATGGCATGGGTGGGAAACATGGAATGATGGAAAACATGGCACTGGTGGGAAGCATGATGTGGGTGGGAAGCATGGTATGGGTGATCAAGATGTGTCCTCCAGCCACGGGTGTCTGTTTGTTTCTGTTGCTACAGCAGCGGTAGTCACTTCTGGCACTGCTGACATCACGCTACCACTACAGCAGCTGTTGCCAGTGTGGTTACCGCAGCTGCAACGCCAATGGCAACAGCTGTGGGAGCATCTGTGGTTCGTGCTGCCGCGGCAACGCCGCATCTAAGGCTGCTGCAAGGCCGGTGGCTGCTGCTGCTGGTGACAAACTTGGAAACAGGCAGAACACCCGTCGTAGTTGCATGAAGGGCTGCTACACTCTGGGTACCTCTGCAATGGCGATGTCAGAAGCTGCAATGTTGGTGGGCTTTCTAGCAACTATTGAATTGGCATTGTTTACTGCAGTCACAGAGCACACAGGGACTGTGGCAGCAATACTTGGCAAGCCAAGCCATGCAGGAATGAAGTGTCCAAATCTGATGCGACCTCGTTGCTGGTTTTCTGTGTGCTTCATCTATGCATTTGGATGTGCTGGCGGCTTTCTGCACGAGAAATCAATGCACTAAACTTCTAGAAAATCATGCTTCATGTAACACGAACATATTTCAATTGTGTGAGATAGGGTGATCGTAATCCTTGTCTTGAAATACAGTGTCTAGTGTCACAATGTACAAATTGATTTTACCACGCGTTTCCGCTGTGGACGCTATGTCGAAGCTTACCTGAATCTGCATGCGTGGAAAGAGATGCTTCGGTTCGGTTCGCCGCGTGCCATGATGACGTAAAACCAGCTTCTGACACACGGCAAGCACACTTTACCCATGCACCCCAGCAATACTTCACTAACCATGTTGTTTACCAACCGAACCTCAAACCCGGCGGGCCTTCATCCCAAGGCACCAGGTGTTCCAGGATCACTGTAGCACGGTGGACGCTGTTAGTTGGTGGCTGCGCGAAATGCTTCGCGATGCGACGCGATCGAAGAGTTTCCCCTCCACATATTCTGACACGCGCCCAGCCTTTGCGACCCAAATGGTAACTGCGAGCTTTTCGTGATCAATCATACGCGAGTCGGGTGGCCCTTGATGTGACGGATGAGCCACTTCCCTGCCATGTGTGACACGACGCCAAGCCCTCCTGTCACCAAACCCAGCCAAGGCTCGGCCAAGGCCTTGTCGCTGTCAACGCTTTGGCTCGGCACCGCAATTAGAGCAGCAATTGAGGAAACCGATAGGTTTGGCAAAGTACTGTCAAGGTATAACGGCTACTTCGCCCTTGAAGTTCTCGCTCCTTTTCCACCTCGTCTTACACCTCTCACCTTGTGCCTCCTTGATTGCTCACTCCCCGAGGTTCAGGTTAGCAGCAACTAAATAAGCACACACCACACAAGCAACATCATTTCTTAGCAAGCACGCAAGCTATCTTTTCATTCGAACTCAATTGAACCTTTGCAATCCGCATTGCCTTAGATTTCTCACCGATTCAGCTGCTGTTGACTCCGGTTCAGCGCTATCCTCGTAGAGCCGGTTTGTCTCTCTCGGTATATTTCAGTTACTGCAAAATTATGGCTATCGAGACGGTCATTGCCGCTGTCCTCTACATCCACGTTCCGTGCTTCGCGGAGGGATAGCGAACCTTTAAAATACAAACATCATTGCCGTCGTTTGCGTTACTCCTGCTGAGCCGTTTTTGAGCTGAATAGCCCAAGCGTTCCGGCCACTTTCCACGACAAAAGAATTTGCAAGAAACGACTGATCGGCTCGTGCAATTCAGCGGCGGTTCGGTCCGTTCTCGTTACAGTCGAATTCAATCTCGCATATGGTGTCTTACACCGCGTCATGGCACTCACCAGCAACGACTTACGGATTAGCACTGAGGCATGGAAAAGGCAACCCATCAGTATATTCCGGCATACCCGGGACTCCAACGGAAGCTCGTCAATACTCTTATAAATTAGCCATTGACATAAATTCCAGCGTCGCATATCTTTCGCCTGGCGGACATACTGTAGCTTACAAGCCTCCTTCAGATCCTTTACGCCGCTATCAAGTTCAGATTCCTAACGCTAGCTCAACTTTTCCTCGTTTCTCTGGTTTTAGGAACCTTTCAGATACTTTTAGCTCATCTAGGTTCGGCTTTCCCCTTGTCACCGACGAACCAAGAACTTCAGTCTCCACGCATGCCAGCTACACGAGGCTCGGAAACAACGGTGGTCACTCTAGGCTCGGAAGCAACGGCAGAATCCGCGGCAAGCCCAGGACCAGCAGGCGCATCAAGTATGGCGGAAGTCTCGCTAAGGCCTGGAGAGGCAGCAGGAGCGGGAAGGGCTCCGTGGTGTGTGAGACGGCAGACGGCAGCAGCCCGCGCGATTGGGCTCTGGGCGACGATAAGGGACCCGGGAGGGGCGGCACGGGAGGATCCACGTGGGAATTGGAGGAATCCGAGCAGGCTCGCGCCAATTGCAAGCCGCGACGGGAGGAGGCCCTCCCGCTGCCTGGCAGCCGTCGATTGGTGGGCGATCGGACGGATCAGAGGGGGCACGGGATGACAAAAGTAAACGGCTGGCAGAATGGTCAGCGATCTGGAAACGTGGACGGTCATGTGAACGGCCATGCGATTGGGAAAGTAAACGGTCAGGTGAATGGCCGTCTGATTGGCCATGTGAACGGAAAAGTAAACGGCCAGCTGAATGGTTACGCGAACGGCCAGGTGAACGGCCAGGTGAACGGGAAGGTGAACGGCCAGGTGAACGGGAGGGTCAACGGCCCGGTCAATGGCCAGGTCAATGGCCAGGTCAATGGCACGGTCAACGGCCAAGTTAACGGTCAGGTCAACGGCCAAGTCAATGGCGATGTCCACGCCCAAGTCAACGGCAAGCCCAACGGCCACGTCAACGGCCAAGTCAACGGCGAAGTCAACGGCCAGGGACCTACGATGGGGCAGTACGAGTACCCGTTTCCGGACGTGATGTCATGGGCGTGGGACGGAGACAGCAGCGCCTGGAGCCACTTCGAGAACGAAAACGCTCCGTCCGGCCAGCAGCGCCTGAGCGACGATGGGAACGGAAATGTTGATGCGCACGAGACAAAGCATGGTGAGTCCGGCGCCGGCGCCGGCGGGCGCGGAGCGGCTGCTGCTGCTGCTGCTGCTGCTGCTACGGAAGCGGGGAATGCGGAAGGGGCGCTTGAGGTTGCGCGCGCGGTTGCGCTGCGGGCTGTAGCGCGGATGGTGGCGGTACTGGCGGTGTTGCGGTCCGCGTTGCCGTATGGCAGCTGGTGGCGCATGGAGGGGAACGCGGAGAAGAACATGGGGTACGAGGCGGCGGCCGGTGAGGGGAAGGGGGAAGGCGGAGCGGGGGCGGCGGAAGCTGAGGGTGTGGGGAGCCTGGGAGATGCTGGTCGCAAGCTGTGGCGATTCTGTGCTCCGGATAAGGGACTGGTGGTGGTGGCGTTCGTCTTTTTGTCGCTTGCCGCGGTGAGTGGCTGTGGTTGGAACGATTGTTTGCTAGTTCTCGCGTGAAACAGTAGCAGTTTCATGTGTATTTCCGTTTGACTCGCGTCACCCACACGACTGTCCGCCCGTGCCACGTGGCAGATATCGGAGGTGACGATCCCGCATCTGCTTGCGTCGACCATCTTCGCGGCGTCTAACAACATGGGCGCGCAGTTCGCGCACAACGCCAAGCTGCTCGTCGCGCTCACGCTCGCCTGCGGGGCCTTCAGGTGCGTGCGTGGACTGTGCAGGCTGTACCAAGCACCGATGCATTCTCATGCACTTGTATGCACTCGAATTGGAAGCTGAAGCATGCTTGTTCTGTTTCACAGTTCCCAGCATGTACCTGGTGTTGCACATTCTCACTCACTCACTCCCTCCGTTCCTCCCTCGTTCTGCCCCCTCTTAATTCCCCCCCTACCCCATCCCCCCTGTCGCATCTTTCCTCGCTCCGTGCGCAGTGGGCTGCGCTCCTTCTGCTTCACGGTGCTCAACATGCGCATGGTGTGCCGCATGCGAGAGGCACTCTTCTCTACCATCATGCACCAGGTATGCCTGTCGTCCCCACCATTGCATGCGCCACCTCTTACCCCCGCCTCTACCCACCAGCCTCCCTTCTCCCTCCCCCCCTCCGCACGCACACACCCTCAGGACGTGAATCCCTTTGACGTAAGACGTATCACCCTTCCCCCTCACCTCCCCTTCCTTTCCCCCCCCTTCCCTTCTCCCTCCCGCTCCCCTTCTTCTCCCCCACCCCTTCCCTCTCCCGCCCTCCACCTTCACCTCCCTCACCCACCACCACACTTTCCTCACAGGACGTGAGTTTCTTTGACAAGGAGTCGGTGGGCGACCTCACTTCCCGTTTGGGCGCGGACTGCCAGCAGGTGGCGCAGAGCACAGCGGGGGACGTCAACGTCACAGGCCTTCACTGGTGCCGTATGCGTGCGTACCTCTCCCCACCGCTCCCCACCGGTTCCCTACCCCCACTCCCCTCCGCGCCCGTCCCTCTCCTTCAGGACGTGAGTTTCTTTGACAAGGAGTCGGTGGGCGACCTCACTTCACGCTTAGGCGCGGACTGCCAGCAGGTGGCGCAGAGCACAGCGGGGGACGTCAACGTGATGCTGCGCAACGCGCTGCAGGGGGCGGGCGCCATGTGCTTCCTGCTGCGCCTCTCCTGGCGCATGGCGCTCATCTCCGCGGGCCTCTGCGCCCTCATGTGGTGCTGCCTCGTCGCCTATGGCAGGTACCGTGGGCTGGCAGGTACCGTGGGCTGGCAGGTACCGTGGGCTGGCAGGTACCGTGGGCTGGCAGGTACCGTGGGCTGGCAGGTACCGTGGGCTGGCAGGTACCGTGGGCTGGCAGGTACCGTGGGCTGCCAAGTACGGTGGGTTGGCAGGTGGGGTTGGTTGCCTTGTCGCGTATGGCAGGCATGGTTGCTGGCGTGGGGCAGGTATGGGTGCTGCATGGGGCGGGCGCCATGCTGGTTGACAGGTTTGGCTGGGTGGCGGGTTGGCTGGTTGGCTGGTTGATGGGTTGATGCGTGACAATTGTGATAAGATAACATGCTACTTTCTTGCTTGTACTCTGCCTCCTTCGCTGACAATGGAATGGCTGTGTGTGCGCGTTGTGTGTATTGATGTGTGTCCTCAGGTTCCAGAGAGAGAGTGCCCGCCTCATCCAAGACACTGTTGCATCCGCCAATGAGGTGAGAGCAAGCCTTCAGCACTGCTCTGCTGCACTGCTCCACTGCACTGCTCCACTGCACTGCTATACCGTCTCCCTGCCTTACCACGTTGCCCTGCCTAAACCCTGCCTCAACTCCTCGCCCTGCCTCAACCTCCTCGCCCTGCCTAACCTCCTCGCCCTGCCTAACCTCCTCGCCCTGCCTAACCTCCTCGCCCTGCCTAACCTCCTCGCCCTGCCTAACCTCCTCGCCCTGCCTTACCTCCTCGCCCTGCCTCAACTCCTCGCCCTGCCTCAACTCCTCGCCCTGCCTCAACTCCTCGCCCTGCCTTACTTCCTCGCCCTGCCTTACCTCCTCGCCCTGCCTTACCTCCTCACCCTGCCTTACCTCCTCGCCCTGCCTTACCTCCTCGCCCTGCCTAACCTCCTCGCCCTGCCTAACCTCCTCGCCCTGCCTAACCTCCTCGCCCTGCCTAACCTCCTCGCCCTGCCTAACTTCCTCGCCCTGCCTTACCTCCTCGCCCCATCATTGTTGTTGCAGGTGGCAGAGGAGACCATTTCACTGGCTCGTGTGGTCCGCACTTTTGGCACGGAGCAGCAGGAAGTCAACAGGTGGGTGCTTCTAGGTGCTGATGGGTGCTGTTGGGTGCTTCTGGGCGCTGCTAGGTTCTGCTGAGTGCTAAGTGCTGCAGATTGCTGCTGGTTGCTCCAAGTGTGGCGATAAGTAAAACAGAAACAAGGGCCATATGCGCGTTTTTTATTTGACTAAAAGAACGTTTTCTTTTACCCTTTTCTCCTCCCGTCCCACCAGGTACAAGGTGCCACTGCAGCGCCTGCAGCATGTGGGCCTCAGGCGCTCTGTGGCGTATGGCATGTGGAACTTCGGTGGCAACACCATCTACAATGCCACTCAGGTATGGGTCATGCTGTGCCATGCCTTGTGAGTAGACTCAAAGGTCACCTCGCTCTGTGGCGTATGGCATGTGGAACTTAGGTGGCAACACCATCTACAATGCCACTCAGGTGTGGGTCATGCTGTGCCCTGTCGTACAATACGTGCTGCATTGAGCAAAAGACTGGCCCATACAGGTCTCGAACCTGTGACCTTCGCGTTATTAGCACGACGCTCTAACCAGCTGGCCCATATCTGCACTGTGGCCAGCCATCCCGTGCCTCCATGCCGTGCCCTGCCATGTCATGTCATGCCATGCCATGCCATGCCATGCCATATCATGTGTCTGATCCTCCTTCCCTTTCTTTCTCCCAGCAGTGTGCAGCCCATGTCCATGCCCCTTTGGAGTGCGCACAGCCCTCCAGGTGCTCGCACTGACCACTGACCCCTCCGTCCCCACCTCTTTCCTTCACCCCCGTCTCCCCTCCTTTCCCAACCCCCTGTCCCCTCCTGCCACCAGGTCCTCGCTATAATCATGGGAGGCAGTGCAGTGATGTCGGGCGCCATCACAGCAGAGCAGCTCACGCAGTTCATTCTGTATGCCGAGTGGGTTGTGCACGCCACCTGGTGGGTGGGCGACCACTGGGCGTCCCTCATGGACTCCCTGGGCGCCTGCAGCCGCGTCTTCCAACTGCTGGACCTGCCATCCTCACCACAGCTCGCGAAGACACAAGGTGGGTTGGTCACTTACTGGTCGTCCCTTAGGACTCCCCTAGGCCTCATGTGCACGCCACCGGAGGGTGGGCGACCACTGGGCGTCCCTCATGGACTCCCTGGGCGCCTGCAGCCGCGTCTTTCAACTCCTGGACCTGCCATCCTCGCCACAGCTCGCACAAACCAAAGGTGAGCTCGCACAGGCCTAAGGTTAGGACACGTATCAGGTCACACGGCTGGGTTTCATGTGCACACCACGCCACGCCACTCCACCTGGAGGGTGGGCGACCACAGGGCGTCTCTCATGGACTCCCTGGGCGCCTGCAGCCGCGTGTATCGGCTCTTAGACCTGCCGCACTCGCCACAGCTTGCAAAGGCGAGGTTAGGTCACGTATCACATGCCTAGCCTTACATGCATGCCACATGCCACATGGTGGGTGGGTTGGGCACTTACTGAGCGGCCCTTAGGACTCCATGTCCTGCCCATGCCATGGTCCCATCCCATATCCATAGCCCATGCAAACCCTTGTGCCTGATGCCTCCATGCGTTCACGCCTTGACTTGACGCCACAAGCTCATGTCTGTGTGCGCTGATCCCATCCCCTCCCCCTCCCTCCCCCCGCCCCCCCCGCCCACCGTGCGTGCTGCCAGGTTTACAGATGCCATGGCTGCAAGGCAAGATAGAGTTCCGAGATGTGTCCTTCCGATACCCAACCCGCCCTGAGGTGCGTGCTTTTCTTGAGCTTGCCTGCTTGGAGCCAACTTCATGGTTGCTTGGCGTGTCCTTCAAATGGCACGTCATAGATTAGCCTTGATCATTTTTTTAAAGCTTCACAAAAGCGTCTACCAGGCATACGGCATGTGATGGGCAGAAAGGACCATTGTGTTTACTTCACACTCCTCTAGCACCTCCTGAACGCCCCTGAGCTGGCTTGATCTGTGAGAGTTTTCATTGTCTCCCTTTGGTTCTCCTGCAGGCTTCCGTGCTGTCCCATGTGAATCTGAGCATCAACCCCGGCGAGCTGGTGGCACTGGTGGCGCTGGTGGCGTTGGTGGCGCTGAGTGGCAAAGAGATGACTGTTTCTCACCTCTTTGTATATCCTCATCTCACTTCAATCCACCCTTCCGTTCGCCCCTTATTCTTCCTGCAGGCCTCCGTGCTGTCCCATGTGAATCTCACCATCAATCCCGGCGAGCTGGTGGCGCTGGTGGGGCTGAGTGGCAGTGGGAAAAGCACTCTCGTGGGGCTGCTGCAGCAGCACTATGAACCCACACACGGAGAGGTGAGGAGGGGGTTTGCAAGGTATCAAGAGTTTGGAGGGGTTTTGCACTGTTGTCCTCCCAGTCCCTCGTTTTCCCCACCCCCGTTCCACCTCCATTTCCCCCCCACCCCATGTTTCGCGGCTCCCTTCCCGAGTTTCACCCCTACCCTTTCCCTCCTCTCCCTTTCTTCTTTCCTGTCAAGATTCTTTTGGACGGTGTTCCTATAAAGGAGTTTGACACTAAATGGCTGCGCGGGCAGATGGGGGTAGTCAGCCAAGAGCCACGTCTCTTCAGCACAGACGTGGCAGCAAACATTTCGTATGGCTCAGGCAGCCGAAAAAAGAGCCACGAGGAGATCACACGCGCGGCCTGCGCGGCCAACGCGCACGATTTCGTTTCGGAGCTTCCCGAGGGGTACGCGACAGTGGTGGACAACTCGCGGCTGAGCGGCGGGCAGAAGCAAAGAATCGCGATTGCCCGGGCGCTGGTTCGTGACCCGAAGATACTGATTTTGGATGAGGCGACGAGTGCGCTGGATGTGGAAAGTGAGAGGAACGTGCAGGGGGCACTGGATGAGGCGATGAAGAGGGGGAAGAATGGCCGGCGCGATCGTACCGTCATTGTGATTGCACACAGGTGGGTGTGATTACACGCATCATGGTGTGTTGGAAATGGTGTTGTGACTGGTGTTGTGTGGTTTACTGACTGCATCGGCTGTTTCCGTATGTGCTGCTCTTCTTTTCTGTTGAATTATGCTTTTCCATGCTCCAATTATGAACCCCAATCTCTGCTATTTTTCATCAGGCTGTCTACGATCCAGGCAGCAGACCGCATCGTGGTGATGGCTCATGGCAGGATAACAGAGGTGAGTGCTGTGCAAGTGTCCAATGTACACATCTGCATCATTCATTTAATTAGTTTGTTTTGTTTCTCCGATGGCCTGTTCGTTCAAACGATCATCAAGAAGTCAACATGATGCTGCCTTCTCGTTTTCGACATGAGTTGATAACGCCCTTCCATGATTCTGGTCTTGCTTACGGTATATTTGATGTTGTTATGCCAGGTGGGCACACATGCACAGCTCATGGCCAAGGGTGGTGAATACGCAAGGCTGGTGAACATGCAAGACCATACACCAGCTTTCGCGATGCCTTGAAGGCCGCTCCTGATTTTGCCATGCTTTCTTTAGATATAAGGCTCCTGACGTTTCACCAGTGTATATAGCTGTCGGGGAATTGTAGCCAGCCTGCCTGATGTGGTATACTTTTGCTGGTAATCCTTTTTTTGGTTATGTTATCGTAGAGTGGGATGGTTTACGCAAATGTACTTGTTTCGGTTTCGCAACAGTGTCGGTGTTCCCCCCCTCTCTTCACGAGTCAACTCCGCCATAATCTCAAACCAACCAAACCTGCCTGCTATCGAAAACACACTCGATGGATGTCGTTTCCGCAGCATCTGTATCATCTCCCGATTTCCCCCAGTGGCCCCTCCCATCACAACATCCCCGCACTCTCTGCCAGTCCGCCTGTTCCCCAGCATTTCTCCCCCACCTCTTACCTCTCGCCTTCGTCCCCCTTCCCCGCTCATACCACCAAACCTCCCCCTTCTTTCAACACACCCCCGCCGCTTCCCCCGAACCGGTGAGTCGTTCCGCCAACCCGTGTCGAATCAGCCAGCGCCATCCAACCCATCCATCCCTTTCCTTACCTGTCCAGCCAAAGCCTATCTGATTTCCTTGGTTCAAAAACAGCCATGGCTCCAAGCCCTAGCACATCGGTTCTACCAATTTCGTGCATTCCAAGGGTAGCCAGCTCTTATTGCTGTCTGGCTTCACAGTGGAGGGTTACCTCGTGTCTCGCCACGTGGTGTTAGTATGTTCTTAGTCTCGCGTAGGTTTCGCGGGTTGAGCCAGTCTGACGTGTCAGGCCTTGAGGCCACGTGGTCTTTATCTGGAGGTAAAATACCAAGAGGCGTCAGGCGAACGTATATCTCCTCCATCGCAAGCTAACATGGAGTCACGCGTTTCGAGCACGCACTTGCTCTCCGCGTTGTTTCTCGACTCGGAATTGGTTCTTTAGTAAAAGGTTCTGGCGCTATGAAGTATATCTGACGTTCCCGACGCGTGATCTTGGCTTGAGCCGTTCATACCCTTACCAGAACCTAGTCATCAGCGCGCACACGCGACGACACGATGTTCTTCCTCCGTCTCATGGTTTTCCAGCTGAATATCCGCCGACCATGTATCCTCCAACGAGAGCCCTACTCCTGCCGAAAGAATGAAGCCGTATCTCTTAATTAAATCAATGGCCTTCGGCGCTCGTCAATTCCTGGTCGAAGTCTCCGACCAGTCCGGTCCAGTCCCGTCCAGTTCGGTTCAGTTCGGTTCTGGCCGACCACGATCATTCACCCTCTAGCATCTCACTCCATTCTTGCGCGCTTGTCCCTCGTTGCGAGGAGAGTAAGTCACCTGCAGACCGGTCATTGCTCGCTTACCAGCAAGTTTCGAGTTTACTTTCCCGCCGGAGTAGGTTTTCCGCCTTCCGCCGGCCTTTCCCGCCTTTCCCAGCCTTCTCCCCGCCTTCTCAACATTGTTTATGAGTTAGGCTCGGTACCGAACCAGTGAGTTAGACTCGGTGCTCATCGAAGGTAGTAGAGTAGGGCTAGGTGTCGCCAGCGACGCTCACCAGCGAACTGAGGAGCCACTGGCGACGACCGCTGGCGAAGAAGAGGGTTACGAGCAGCAATCGAGCTACGGCGCTAACGACATTCGCGAGCGACCATGTTCTGCTGTTTCGCGCGGCCCAAGGCGGGCGACGACGACAATGTCAACGACGACTATGCGACACCTGCGCCGCCCGCGCGGAACACCCCGCGGAAGCCCGCGCCTTCCGCCTCTTCCCCCGTCGGCGATGCCGGCGTGCGCGAATACGCCAGTAAAATGGCGGCCGCAGACGACCGCGTCGCCATGTCGTCAGTCGCCGTGTTACACGCCGCGCAAATTCGCAGCATTCGCTCGGAGAACGCCACTGGGATCAGCGGTGGCAGCGGCGCCCCCAGCGGCGGAGGAGTAGTAGGAGGAGGCGGCGGCGGTGTCGGCGGCGGTGTCGGCGGCGGCGGCATCACAGCAGCGCATGGCGGCGGCGGAGGTGGGTCGGGTCGGGGGGCTTCCCGAGATGCTTCGTCGAAGCCTCCTATAGCAACAGATAGAGGCAAGAGCCATATGGGGCCGGTAATCATGGCGGCCGGCCCGGGGCTAGGGTTTGGCGCATCGGGTATAGACATCAGACCAGGCAGCGGCGCAGGCGGCGGAGGCGGAGGGGGAGGTTTGGATGAGCGGCCGAGCAGCGCGGGACCGACGACGATACAGCAGCACATGCAGCACCACCAGCAGCTGCACCAGCACCAGCAGCACTATGCCGCAGCCGTGGGATCGCGCGCAGTGAACAGTGCCGGATCCGTATCGTATCTCAATGCCATGCCTGGGCGGCAGCGGATCGTTGCTTGGCTGGAAGAATCGGATCAGTCGTTTGCGACGGTAGACGAAACCACGAACGAACCCGTGCGACTCAGGTCCCCGCGGGGTAAGCAGGCGCAAGGGGAGGGGGACGGGGAGGGGGAAGGGGATGGGGAAAGCGGGCGGGACGGGAGCGCGGACGCAGCTGCTATGGAACGCCTGGGGCTCTTTCTTTCCAGCCTGCCCGCCGGGCAGTATGAAGACCGCGGCAGCCCCACGGCCGCGCCTCCGTCCGCCTCGGGGGAGTCCAGCGGCGGAGTTGGGGGTCCCAGCGGAGCGTGGAGCGCGGGAGGCGGAGCGGGAGGCAGCAGCAGCACGGGTACGCACGGGCAGTCGGGTTATTCCGCCATGGCCACTGCGGGTTCAGGTGCTACTGGCCCGAGTTACACCAGTCCGGGTATTCCAGGGGGAGGTTTTACTGGTGCAGGTTTATCTGGGGCGCGCAGGGCTTCCCCGAATAACTCCAAGCGGGACCTGCTTCCGCCCCCCGCGGGGGGGCATAGCGGGGGGGCGGGGGGCGGAGGTGGTAGTGGGGGGAATCCATTGGGGGGGAACCCGATGGCGCGGACGCGGTCGAGCCAGGAACCAGTGCGCCTGGTGCCCCAGATGGGCAGCGCGGAGGAGAGCGCACAGGCGGGCGCTGCGCCTTCCCCCCTCCCCGCTACTGCAGGCGCGCTGGGGGCGGGACTTAGTGGGGCGGGGGGAGGCAGAGGCGGAGCTGTGTTGGCGCCGTCATTGAGCTTTGCCAATGGGGTTGGTTCAGGCATGGGGGCAGTGGCGGCTGGTGGCGCAGGGGTAGGGGCTGGGACAGGAATGGGAGCAGGGGCACCCGTAGGGGGTGGGGGATGTACTGGCTCGGGTACTGGTGCTGCTGGTGGTGCAAGTGGGGCGAAGGAAAAGGAGAGCCTTCGCGTGCAGGCACTGAGTAATGCCATTCGGCACAACAGCCACGGCGGGGAGAAGGACAGAGACAGCCATAGAGACAAGGAACCCCTAGGCCGCTCCACCACTCAGTACTCCGAAGAAGGGGGGTCAGCAGCAGCAGTTGCCGGATCAGCTGTTGCTGCCACTGCTGGGTTCGGTGGGAGTGCGAGAGGCTTGGGAGGCGGTTTTGCTTCGGACACAGCTTCGGATACGGCTGCAGGGCAGGTGCATGGTATGAGGGATGGCAGCTTCCCCCCTTCTCCTGCTCCGGATAAGTCGTGGTATGCTGTGTCGCCATTGGTGGATTTTCACCCGGGGTCCAGCCCGCCGCCCCCTTTCATGCCCGGGCAGAGTCCGCTGAGAGATAGTGCTTTCAAGCTGCCCTTGCCTGCTGTGGGAGGGAATGGGGCAGGTAATTCCGGGCATGAGGGGTTAGGGGAGATTAGAACAGAGGATGGGCAGATAGGGGGAGGGGGTACGGGGGATGGAGAATTGTCTATGGATGGTGGAAAGGGAGTTGCAGCTGAGGGTTCTTCTCACGAGGAGGCTCCTTGTTCCAAGAGTATGAATTAGGGCTACTGCCTGAGTTTCATTCCTTTGGAGGTGTGGAGATTGTGGAGATTGTTGTGATGTACGGTCAGTCATGAGTGCAGGGGTGGGAGGATTTTGCAATTGGGGTTGGTCAGTTGGTAGAAGGAAAGGAAATCATTATGTTGAGTATATTAGTCCATGTGTTCATTCTGCAATTGGGGTTGGTCAGTTGGTAGAAGGAAAGGAATCATCATTCTCCCTCATCTACTGCTGAATCCCTCATGCTAGTGTAAAACAAAGCTAGTAGTGTAAAAAAATCCCTTCAAACCATCGTTCACCCATTGAGAGTAAATAACTGGGCAGCGAGAAGTGCAGATAACTCACCCTGCCGTTCGACAATTCGCCAGAGCGTAAACCACAAGCACCAACGAACCAAAAAGGAAAAACCATTTGACAATTCGCAATTTGCATGCATCACGTCAGGTGGTCGTCCTCCTCCTCAGCGGGAGCATGGCGGTGGTGGTGGTCGGTTTGGGGGCAAATCAGAGCAGGATTCCGAAGATTATCGTCAATGCTTCTCTATTGGTGGAGGGGGGACCCTCATTGGGTCACTGCTGCAGCCTCTTGCTGTTGTTTGATGACCCACTCCACTCCACAAGAGGGGAAATTATACGAGTAGTCACAATTATGCCCATTTTATCATGACTGGTCACATGGGAATCACGAACAGTCACAGTACAGTAGATTGCTATCGCGAGTGATCACAGTGCTATCATGGATGGTCATACCTCGCCCGAGAAAGCTATCACGTTTGGTCACTCGATGAAACGAGGATAATTAATTTGAAACCACAAAATTAACTGTAGAAATTTTGGGGAATCCCAACCTTCATTGCTTGTTACCTCGCGCAAAATTCTAGCCCGACATTAAGGGGAATGAAGAAAAAATAAACCCCTAAAGGATGGCACGTCCATTGGGAGGCATCAACCCTAAACACCATGCGACAAGGTGTTTAGGGTTGATGCATCCCGAATTAAATCCCATCCGAATGGGTTTTAGTTTTTTTCTAGTATTGGGAACAAAAAATGCAACCCTACGAGTTTCACCCATCTAAAGTGATATTTTAGGGTCATTATCATCCATCGAACAGTGGACAATCGAATAGTAACAAGAAATCTCAAATGATTTTAACGAGTTACCGAGAGGGTGCGCGAAACAATTTCGTAACACTACGGACAAAACGTCGCGCGCGAGATAACTGTCCTTGAATCCCTACAGTGAGTTGTGTAGTTTCAACTTATAATGACCGTTTCAATGAGTGACCAAACGTGATAGATTTTCGGGGCGAGGTGTGACCATCCGTGATAGCACTGTGATCACCCGCGATAGCAATCTACTGTACTGTGACTGTTTGTGATTCCCCTGTGACTAAACGTGATAAAACGGGCATAATTGTGACTGCCCGTATAATTTCCCCCACAAGAGCGAGGAGGTGACTGGGGGGCATGGCAGCAGTCGCACTGGGAGATGGATCTGCTTTCGTTTTCGGTCGCCCTGGCATTTCATGATTGTACTTTTCAGGTTGGGGTTGGGTTGGGGGTGCGCAGCATCGACGAATGCTGGGCGGCGTGAAAATTATTCAGCTAAGCAGGAGGATTAAATGTGGGAAGAGAGTTCGGCCTGTCTTTCAGAGGAAGGTTTTACAGGCTGCTCTCATCAATGTCCAACCACACGTGTCTACTTACGCTAAGTGGAGGCTTGATGATTTGAGCCCAGGACAAGAGCATGAGCCCTGGGTACGGGTTCGTAAGCAAGTGAGCCCTGAAATCATCTGGAAAATAAATATCTGACCCGTTTCTGGTAACCTGTCGTTTTTGCAGGGTCCTGCCTGGTGGCAGACAGGCACTGCGTACGACTCTGTCCTCTAGTGCTGCCGAGCCGAACGACCATTCAAGAAGAAAGTACAAACGAACCGTGAATGTCAAACATCCGCACCTGGCGGTAAACCTTGGCCTGAGCTTCGGCGCAGGTATGACGACGCGTTTTTGTTCGGTATGGCTTCGGGCTTTTCCACACTTCCGCCTCTAACTACTGTACCCCGCCCCCTCTCCCCCCCTCTCCCCCACCCCCCGAACCCCCTTCTGCCGCGATGTTTGCCCTTGAACCTTTGATCTTGTCCGTGGCCCTTGGGCTGCTCGAAGCCGCCCTTCGTTCGGGGTTCTTTCGAGTGGACCGCGCACTGTTTCCGCAGACGCACACTGCCAGGCCAGTGTGGTGCATTTCTTCGTGCCGAAAACAGCAGCGTTTTCTTCAAATCGGGCAGAAGGTTGTTGACTGGTTATTACAGTCAGCAGCACCAGCAAACCGTGTCTGAACTCTGTAAAATGTACCTCACCGTACTTGACACCGGCTGAAGTTAGCCAGGCGATGCTATTCCCGTGCAGGTCAGTGATCTCTCATGATTCATCTCAACCACCCCACGTGGAGTGGGACTCGCCAGAAGGTACTCATGCTTGACAGAGGTCTTAGCATTCTTCTCCACCACTTATGGCTCAACTATAAAATATTCGCAGGCGTATTTATGACCTGCGCTCACCAGTGTTAGAGCAGTGATAGTAAAGCATCTGATTGACGTTATTGTCCGATTAACTCGAGGTTTTTTTGGGTTGTGCGGGGCGAGAATAGTGTACGAATTAACGAGACTAGGGGAGATGTCAGCAGACTGTTGATATAATATTATTTACTCGCAGATGCTGTACTGGGCCAGCAGCGCGCGTCGAGAATTCATTGCTTAGATTCGAGGGAAGAAATCGATTTCGTTCAAAGTCGCCAAGTCGCCAGCGTCCCCGCAGTTCCCGAAAGAACACGCTAGGCTTGGAGCAAAGCCTGATTTTTTTCGTTTCAGAAAGTTTTGACCGCATCGTAGTGCGAGTCGGGGCCCCTGCACCGGGGTACGCACCTTGTGTATACCAGCGAGAGTGAAACGAAGACATCAGATGACCGTTGCGAGTGAAACGAAGACATCAGATGACCGCTGCGGGCTTTTCAACATGTAACACGGATACTGGACAACGATTCACGCTTACACTAACGATGACATTAGTCGATCCGACGCGGGCTTCTAGTGGTTAAAATCAAGACACTTCGCAAATGACCCAACCTTACGCTGACGATTACAGTAGACCGACGGGTGCGGCCTTCTTAATTACTGATACGGACACTGTACAATGACTCACACCTTACACTGACGATGACATTAGACTACCCGTTGCAGACAGTCTACAATGACTCACACTTACACTGACGATGACATTAGCCCGTCCAGAGTGCTCAACCGCGTGTGTAAGTCGGAGCCGCGAATCACGGTGCAACCGCCGTCCGTGCTGATGCTGCACTCTAGAATCCTGCAGCAGCCGCAGCAGCAGCAGCAACTACCACTACCAGAAGAGGATAGCGAGCCGAGATACTACCAGTCGCCGGACAGTCTGCCAGATGGCATGTCGTCCGTACGATCCATGATGAACCCAGGAATCGACGGTTCTGGGAGAAGCGGGGGGGCCGGCGGCTCGGGCCAGCGCAGTCCAGCTATTCCGCGATCTTCGCGGTCCGTTGGCGGAATTGGAATCGCCGCCTTTGGCGGGGGGAAAGGGGGGCGGAGTAGCGGAGCGGTAGGGATTACCTCCGGCGTGTTAGGAAGCTCTGGCGGTGCGGCTGGTTCTGACGAAGCGCGGTTTTATGATCCATACGGAGGCGCAGACGCGGCTTTTGGAAACGAGTGGGAAACTGCCGAACTTGGCAAGGCGTCTCGGCGAGCAGCTTCGGACGGCGAAGCATCTGGTTTTGTTTCCAAACCTTCGAGTTTGATCCGGTCCCGAACCTTAGACGCAGATACGCTATGCGGGGAGGATGACGACGACCCTAATAACGCAGGCTCGGGATCCTCCCCAAGCAGGCCGTCAGGTCCGGATGGGCCGGTTGGGAATCCACGCCGCCGAGCCGAGCGATCAGGTGCGGGAAACAGGCCTGGAACAGGGTCGTACCTGCCGATATACCGACAGATTGGCGTTCCCCGTAGTTCCTCGCACGACCCCGCGAGTCTGTTCGCGCAGAAGCAGCATCACGCCGGGTTCACCGTGCAGGAGTGGGAAGAAGCGCTTAAAGACGGCAGCGGCGGGGACAGCAGCGGACCGCCAAGCGGCGGAACGGGCTTCGGGCGGAGCAACAGCGGAGGGGGCGGGGGAGGGGGAGGAAGGGCGGCTGGGAGCGCAGTCCCGCGCGGAGGCGGCGGAGCCTCGGGAATGCCGAGAGGTGGAGCTGGTGCGTCGCCGTTTTCCATTCAGGGGAAGGTGGTATCCGGGGCAGGGCGATCTATGATGATGCCTCCGCGCAACTCGTCCGTCCCCGCAGCGTTGCCCACGCATAAAGGCACCGCCACGGGACTGCAAGACTCCGCGCGCGGAGGCGGCGGAGGCGGAAGGCAGCTCCGCGCGTTCGCGTCCGCCGCGCCAGGGCGCATGGACGGCCCCGCTGCCCTGGGGTCGGAGCTGGGCCGGCGCGACTCGTACAACCTGATTCTGGACCAGTTTCTGTCAACAGACGGAAACGCTAGCGGCCCAGATTCGCCCGGTATGGGAATGGGTCCGGAGGAGAGGAGAGGACCGGCCGAAATTGGCGGGGGGGTGGAGTTACGTAGGGTTGTAACGACGGGGAGGCAGCAGAGGGCGGAAAGGGGTGGAGCGGATGTTTTGGTGGTAGAGTGCGGTGGAGATGGTGGGAACGCGGACGGGAGTGTGCACGGCGGAGGTAGGATGCATGGAGGGATTCGGCTGCATGGAAGTAATAGTTTCCACGGGCAACCGAGTAGCGGTGGTGCTGCTGGTGGGGGTTTCGATGGCAGCAGCAGCACAACAGCGCCCACTGCCCCTGCTGCTGCTGCCGCTTCTGGTGGTGCTGCGTCAGCAATAAGCCAGCCCCCCCACCACCCCGTGCACCACCCAGCATATAGGCAATTCCCCCGTTCCTCTAGTGACAGCGGAAGGAAATCGTCTCCTAGTCGTCGGAGCCCTAGCAGCAGCCCCAGCCGCGGCGTGGGGACCATAGGCGGAAGCAACCTTGCGCCTCCCCCGCTCGTCTCCCCCCACCATCTCTTGGACGGGGGCGCCGGGCTGGGTATGGGTGGGCATAGCGCTGCGAGCAGCTGGACTGGCGGAGGGATGGGCGGAGGCGTTGTGGGGGGGTTTGGGGGAGCAGCAGCAGCAGGAGCAGGAAACAGTGTTCCGGTAGGGTTTGAGAAGCCAAGAGGGGTTTCGCCAACGAGAGGAGCCGGGTCTATTCTTGTAGCGTCGTCTGGTAGTCCCCTTCGCCATTCCTCCCCCTCACGCCGAAGCCTCTCGACAGGTGGCGCGTCGGGAGTGGCTAGCTGGAAAGGCAGCAGTAACAGCAGCGCCAGCATGGGAAACGGCAACAGCGGTGGTGGTGGCAGCAGTGGTGGCAGCAGCGGTTTCATCAGCAGCAGCAGTGGCAGCAGCAGCAGCGGCGGAGGATCAGGGCCCGGACGAGGCAGCAGTACAGGTGGCAGCCACAGTGCCAGTTTCCCTATAAAGCAGTCCTCTGGCAGCCCTCCGTTGTTATCACAACAGGCACAGTCACAATCACCGCAGCAGCCGTCGCAGCAGCAGCAGCAGCTGATGCGTCAGCCACCCTTACAGCCACTGCCACAGCCGCAGTTTCCGCGGTTGGCGGGAGCAGGGGCAGGGGGGGGGAGTATGGCCGGGGGAGGGGGCACAGGGACATCGCACAGGAGAGGGAAGAGTGAATACGCCCTAAGTTCAGGGAAGAGGCTATCAAGGCAGAGCTCTGGATCCGTGGGGGATGGTGTGGATTACAGCAGCAGCTTTGAGAGCTACTCTACTGCTGCTGGCGCTGACGTGGCACGAGATGGCACGGACGGGGACTCGGACCACGGGCAGGTTAACGGGCAGCGGAAACTCCGGGGGCAGGCGCTGGGAGGGAGTGGGAACGGGAGGCAGAAACACAGGCGAGCGGTTAGCGATAACGAGTGTGCTCAACCAGGGGAGGTGGAGTCTGGGGAGGGGGAGGAGGGGGGAAGAGGGGGTGTGGGGGAGGGATGGGCGGATGGACAGGTAGAGAGGGGCATGGGAGGGAGGAGAGGGGGCGGAGAGGGTGGAACAATGCATGGGGGTGGTTGGGAAGAGGGGGGTGAAGATGGCGGGGCAGATGTTGGGGAGATTTCATTTGGGCGGCAGCAATCAGTGGCGGAGATAGGGGGGAGTTGCGGAGGCATGGGGGGAAGGGACGGGGAAAGGGCGGGGGAAGGGGGAGGGGAAGAAGACGGGGGAGGGGAGGAGGAGGAGAGTGACTCAGGCAGTGTGGTGGAGTGGGCTCTGGCAGGGTCGCCACAGAGCATCTCGGCTGTAGCAGAGGCGGCAGAAGGGGGGAGGGGAGGTGGAGGGGGTAGGGACGCGGAAGGAAGCTTCCTCCGCAGAGGCAGCGGCGGTAGAGCAGTAGCAGCAGCGGCAGCAGCAGCAGGGGGAGGAGCAGGGGGGGGGGCAGGGGGAGGGGCAGGGGGAGGAGCAGGGGGAGGAGCCCAGGGGGGCATGGGTAGAGCGACAGGGGGAGGAACAGGTGGGGCCGCTTCAGCTGCAGGAGAGGGGGAGGGCCTATCTGGAGCAGGCGCATCTGGAACTCATCCCGGTTGGGGCGGCTTTCCGCGTCTCAACCTGGAGATTGCGAGCCTGCAGTCGTTCTCAGATGAGGAAAACCCCAGTAACCGGAGTGTGGGATCGCTGCAGGGCATGGGCAGTGGGCGGGGTGTGGGCAGCGAACAGGGCATGGATAGCGCTCAGAGCAGCTTACTGAACAGCAGCTTGGGAAAAGGAGCGGGCGGAGGGGTTGGAGAGGGTGCGAGGCGGTGGGTACGGGGTGGGAGAGAGGGGGGGGTAGAGGTGGGAAGGGGAAGGGGGAGGGAGAGGCGCGGGAAGGGGAAGAAGGGAGTGAGATTTTACTCTGAATTGAGGTCTCCGTTGGGTAGGCGAGGGTCGGTGAGTGGGAGAGTGGAGACGCCGCGAGGGGTGGTGGGGAGAGGTGGGAGTGAGAGGAGAAGCAGAGGAGCGTATAGGTGCAGGCATTGTCGGGAGGAGGAGGAAGAGGAGGAGGGGGAAGAGGATGGGGAGGGGGAGGAGGTGGAGGAGGATGAGGAAGAGGGATGTGAGGAGGGGTGTGTGTACGAGGAGGCAGGTAGGGGCAGCAGGGAAGGGGGGCGGAGGAAGAAAGAGGAGGGGAGGGTGTTCATTGGGAGGGTGTTTAATGTGTTACGGCGGCCCATGAGGGCAGTGGGCAAGCAGTATGCGTTGACTGCGGACGACTGGCTTGACTACGACCCCCCTGGAGATGCGCTGCTGAGGCGATGCGTGCACCGGGCGTCTGGCACTCAGCTCATGTGCCGCACGATTTCCAAGCAGAGCATTCGGGTAAGGCGTGAGTAACCAGGTGGGTGGGTGAGTGGTTGACTGCGGACGACTGGCTCGACTACGACCCCCCTCAAGATGCGCTGCTGAGGCGATGCGTGCACCGTGTGTGTGGCACTCCTCTTACCTGCCGCACCATCTCCTAGCAGAGCATTCGGGTGAGTGGACGAGCAGGTGGGTGGGAGTGTCAGGCAGGCACAATGGTGGGTTAAAACAATCTGGCATTCCCACAATGGCATTTGGTCAGGCTGCTCACATGCCATCTGTTTCACCCACCCTTCCCCCCCTTCTCGATTCGCAGCAGCAGGCGGAGGCCATCGGGTCGGGGTGAAGGTGGCAGTGTTGGAGGTGCTGCAGCCGAGGAGACTATAGAAGGTCCACTTTTGACTCTTTCTCTCTCCCTCTCGCTCATCTTCCACCCTCCTCCCAGTCGCAGCAGCAGGCGGAGGCCATCGGGGTGGAGGTGGCAGTGATGGAGGTGCTGCAGCCGCATGCTCACATCGTTGGGCTCAGAGACAAGTTCGAGAGCCTCACGGTGAGCGTGTTTCCGTGGTGGGCCCTACCCCATGGGGCGCCTTGTTGCCGATGTTTCTTTTGAGAATTCTCAAAAGTGCATCATCATATGCTTGGGGTCGCTTAACTGGAGGTGCTGCAGCCGCATGTCCAAATCATTGCCCTTACATGCTCGGCATGCTAAAGGGTGCTCCTCAACTCTTCCTCCCTCCCCCCCCCCCCCCGTCCCAGTCCGTGCATCTGACTCTAAACCCCATAGCGCGTCTCTCTCTACATGACCGCATGCGCCACCACCATTGCCATAACTCTGACACGCATAAATTCCTTTTCTTCTTCTTCTTCTTCTTCACCGTCCTCCCATCCCCACCCCACTATCCTTCTCCTCCTCTTACCCTCCCAGTCCGTGCATCTCATACTGGAACCCATGTCGCGCCTCTCTCTGCACAGCCGCATGCGCCAGCACCACTGTGGGTGGCAAATGCCTGTAGTTCCTCGCATAACCCTATCTAATTCCTCCCAATGTTTGTTTCCCGGCCCACCCCCATTCCCCCTCCCAGTCCGTGCATCTCATACTGGATCCCATGGCGCGCCTCTCTCTGCACGACCGCATGCGCCACCACTACTGAGGGCAGCGGGTGGCAGTTCCTTGCATTCCCCTGCCTAATCTCTCCCCCCTCTCCCCCCTCTCCTCTCCCCCCTCCTCCACCTCCCAGTCCGTGCATCTCATTCTGGACCCCATGGCGCGCCTCTCTCTGCACGACCGCATGCGCCACCACTACTGAGGGCAGCGGGTGGCAGTTCCTTGCATTCCCCTGCCTAATCTCTCCCCCCTCTCCCCCCTCTCCTCTCCCCCCTCCTCCACCTCCCAGTCCGTGCATCTCATTCTGGACCCCATGGCGCGCCTCTCTCTGCACGACCGCATGCGCCACCACTACTGAGGGCAGCGGGTGGCAGTTCCTTGCATTCCCCTGCCTAATCTCTCCCCCCTCTCCCCCCTCTCCTCTCCCCCCTCCTCCACCTCCCAGTCCGTGCATCTCATACTGGATCCCATGGCGCGCCTCTCTCTGCACGACCGCATGCGCCAGCACGGCCCCATCCCTCAGCACCACGCAGCACCGCTCTGCCTCGCGCTGCTGCACGCGCTGCACCACTGCCACTCTCAGGGCGTGGCCCACCGCAACCTCACGCCCCATGCTGTCGTGTTTCCCACTGATGACAGCCCGCTGGGGGATGCCCGGCTGAGTGGATTCGAGTGGGCAGCGTTTGTCACCCCAGGTATGTTCTGCTTGCCTGCGCCACCCTGTAGCGCCAGTCTGTAGCGCCAGCCTGTAGCGCCAGCCTGTAGTGCCAGTCTGTAGTGCCAGTCTGTAGCACCACCCTGTAGTGCCAGTCTGTAGTCTGTAGCGCCAGCCTGTAGCGCCACCCTGTAGTGCCAGCCTGTAGCGCCACCCTGTAGCGCCAGCCTGTAGTTTGGGAGATGGCTGGCTGTGTTAGGTTGGGTTTCGCTGTGTTAGCCTGGCAACCCAGGTTGGTCCCGCTTGGACCAGTGGTTGATCTGCCAGTCACCTGACAATGAGACTCACACACTCACCCTCAACCTCACGCCCCGTGCTCCCTTTCCATCTCTCTCCCACTAGCCCAATCCCTCCTCTGCTGGGTTCCCTGCAACCATCCCATGCACACTGCTCTCCCCGTCCCCTCCCCCTCCCCCTCCGTTTCTCCTCCTCCCGTCCCCAGGAGTGCCGTTCTCAGACCCAGTAACACCGCCCTTGTTTGCAGCACCCGAAGTGCACGCGGGGATGTACGGCACACAGGCCGACCTCTGGTCGCTCGGGGTCCCCCTCTTCCTCCTCCTCGGCTCTGCTGGGTGCCCTTCAACCATCCCACGCACACTGCTCTCCTCGTCTCCCCCTCCTTACCCGTCCCCTCCGCCTTCTCCTCTGCCTCCCCTTCCCGCTCCCCTTCCCGCTTCCCCTTTTCCCCTCCCTCCCTTCTCAGGAGTCCCCTTTTCAGACCCAGTGACCCTGCCCTTGTTCGCGGCACCGGAGGTGCACGCGGGAATGTACGGCACACAGGCCGACCTCTGGTCCCTCGGGGTCCTGCTCTTCCTCCTCCTCTGCGGGGTCCCGCCCTTCTGGGCGGCCACGGGCGGCGGGATTCGGCGGGCAGTGCAGCAGCAGCAGGTGGCGTTCCTGTCGCCCCGGTGGAAGGAGGTTTCCGATGAAATGAAGCAGCTGCTGCTGATGCTGCTCGAGAAGAATCCTTCCGACCGGCTCACAGCCGCCGAGGCTCTAGGTATGTGCATCGTTGCGTCTGAGGTGGTTTCTCTGTGCCCTCTAGGATCTTTTGGGCGTCCACTGGGGAGGTGATTCAGTGAGCAGCGCAGCAGCAGCAGCAGGTGGCGTTCCTGTCGCCCAGGTGGAAGGAGGTTTCTGAAGAAATGAAGCAGCTGCTGCTGATGCTGCTGCTTGAAAAGAAGCCCGCAGACTGTTTTTGAGAATTCTCAAAAACACCCTGCAGCAGATGAAGCAGCTGCTGCTGATGCTGCTCGAGAAGAACCCTTCAGACCGACTCACAGCCGCCGAGGCTCTAGGTATGTGTGCCCCGGTGGTTACTCTGTTCCCCTAAGTGATCTTTCTCCTTCTGGGCACCAGCAAGGGAGGGGTGGGGATGGGGGTGGCGGGCAGTGCAGCAGCAGCAGGTGGCGTTCCTGTCGCCCTGGTGGAAGGATGTATCAGATGAAATGAAGCTGCTGCTGCTGCTGCTGCTGCTGGAGAAAAGATATAATTGGAGAATTACAGGGGCTGAGGCTCAGGGTATGTGTTCCACAGAAGGTATCTCTTTCTTCTCTCGGTGATGTTTCTTCATCTGGTGCTCACAGCAGGGGGGCTTCAGCATGCAGTGCAGCAGCAGCAGGTGGCGGTCCTGTCCGCCAGGCGGAAGGACGTTTCGGATGAGATGAAGCAGCCGCTCATGCTGCTGCTGATGCTGCTGCTCGAAAAGAACCCCGCAGACCGGCTGACAGCTGCTGAGGCTCTAGGTATGTGCGCCTGAGGGAGCGGTTTCTTTGTGCTCTCAAGATGACACTGCTGCTGCTGCTGCTGCTGCCGCCGCCGCCGCCGCCGCTGCCGCCGCCGCCGCCGCCGCCGCCACCGCTGCTGCTGCCGCTCGAAAAAACTTTTGAGGCGCCTCAAAAGTCGGATGACAGCTGCTGAGGCTCTAGGTATGTGCGCCTGAGGGAGCGGTTTCTTTGTGCTCTCAAGATGACACTGCTGCTGCTTCTCCTCGAGAAAAATCACTCAGGAAGAAGACTCATGGCCTCTGAAGCGCTAGGTGAGTGTATCTGAGGTGCTTTCTCTGTGCCCTCAAGGTTCGTCTGGTCACCCGAGGTGGCAGTGATTTCAGCATAAAGTGCAGCAGCAGCAAGTGGCCTTCTTGTCCCCCAGGTGAGTGCCTCAAAACTCACCTCAGACCCACTCACCTAAGTTTTGAGGGTTCTTTGGTGTCTAGGCTCTCTTGGTGAGTGTCTCTGGAGGTGGTGCATACCCTGAGGCTCTAGCTAAGTGGTACTCGTGGTTGATATTGCCTGCATTTCGTAGTCTTCTCGAATTTACCGCTAGGTAAGTGGTGTCTGTGGGTGAAATCGAGTTTTTAGATGTCTCAAAACGAGCCAAGTGGTACCTGGGGCTGAAATTGCACGCAGTGTTTCCTTCAGTCTTTTGTTTGTTTCCTCCAGTCTTCTGTTTGTTTCTGACTGCTGTTTTCGCTGAAGCTGCTTCTTGTCTTTTTGCGACGGCTCTCCTCTGCAGAGCATCCAGTGTTCACACGAGTGGCGGCATCAGAGGAGGGTACACCATGACTCATGAGTCAGGATCTTGATCTTGGCGCGAGAGGAGCTGTAACCAATGACAGGCCGACAGCTCATCACCTGGCGGCATTCGAGGAGGGTACGCCATGATTCATGAGTCAGCATCTTGATCTTTGCACAAGAAGAGCTGTAACCAATGACAGGCTGACAGCTCATCTCGGTGACTTTTGAGTCGACTCAGAAGTCACCTGGCGGCATCAGAGGAGGGTACACCATGAATGATAAGGAGCCGTGCAGCAGATGCCGCATGGAGAACGGGAGGGTACACCATGAATGATATGATTCATGCGTCAGGATCAACGACACCAGGATCGTGGCGCAAGAGGAGCTGTAATCAACGACGGCTTGTCTCGTCATCACTTGCCATAAGTTTGACGACGCCGCGCCTCTGGTCACTCACCTGCTCTTGATCCATGCAGGCAGCCTCAACATACCATCTCCTGGAGTGTATTACTACTGCAACTCACTCACTATATAAAGTGTGCCGATCCAACTAACATAACGTGGAGCCTGATATCTAATGTCAACGTGGTGGGCAGGGTAGGACTGTGCATCCTTGTAATATATTGATGTGAATGTATCGAGTGAAAGGATATCTGGGTCATGATTGGGGTGTGACAGCAGGCGGAAGGTTGTTGAACTTCGGGTAAAAGAAGGTTTGGTTCCCAATACTTGGATACGTATCAGACAAAAGGACATGTACTGAAACCAGGAAAGCTCTTACACTTCAAATACAGCAACTTTTCACAAAGCCACAGGGATGATACAAGCCAGCTTTAGTTCATGACCTAGACATCCAATTGTCATGCTCAGCATCCTCCTTGTGGTCAGGTGAGGCGCTTGGCACGTGCATTGCTGGTCCTGCTAGCACGGCTGGCATGGCTGGCACGGCTGGCGCTGCTGCTGTTGCTGTGAGCGCTGAACTTGCTGTGAATGAAGCCGATGCCGTGAATGCCAGACCCACCACCACCGTTGCTGCCACCACCACCATTGCTGCCACCCCCTCCATTGTCGCACCCGCAGCAGCAATAGCAGCAGCACCCGTTGCCGTTGCCGTTCCCAGTGACAGTGACGTCGTTGTTATCACCACCGTTGCCATTGCCGTTACCACAACCGTTGCCGTTGCCGTTGCCACAGCAGCAGCAGCAGCAGCAGCCATTGCCGTTGCCGTTGCCATTCCCGTTGCCGTTGCCATTCCCGTTGCCGTTGCCATTCCCGTTACCGTTGCCATTGCTGTCACCACAACCGTTCCCGTTGCCGTTGCCACAGCAGCAGCAGCAGCAGCAGCCATTGCCATTGCCGTTACCATTTCCGTTGCCGTTCCCATTCCCGTTGCTGTTGATGCTGTTGTGATCGTTACCGTTGCCATTGCCGTTACCACAACCGTTCCCGTTGCCGTTGCCGTTGCCACAGCAGCAGCAGCAGCAGCAGCAGCAGCAGCAGCAGCCATTGCCATTGCCGTTGCCATTTCCGTTCCCGTTCCCATTCCCATTGCCGTTGCCATTCCCGTTGCCGTTGCCACAGCAGCAGCAGCAGCAGCAGCCATTGCCGTTGCCGTTGCCATTCCCGTTGCCGTTGCCATTCCCGTTGCCGTTGCCATTCCCGTTACCGTTGCCATTGCTGTCACCACAACCGTTCCCGTTGCCGTTGCCACAGCAGCAGCAGCAGCAGCCATTGCCATTGCCGTTACCATTTCCGTTGCCGTTCCCATTCCCGTTGCTGTTGATGCTGTTGTGATCGTTACCGTTGCCATTGCCGTTACCACAACCGTTCCCGTTGCCGTTGCCGTTGCCGCAGCAGCAGCAGCAGCAGCAGCAGCAGCAGCCATTGCCATTGCCGTTGCCATTTCCATTCCCGTTCCCATTCCCATTGCCGTTGCCATTCCCGTTGCCGCTGATGCTGTTGTTATCGTTACCGTTGCCATTGCTGTCACCACAACCGTTCCCGTTGCCGTTGCCGTTGCCACAGCAGCAGCAGCAGCAGCCATTGCCATTGCCGTTACCATTTCCGTTGCCGTTGCCATTCCCGTTGCCGTTGACGCTGTTGTTATTGTTACCGTTGCCATTGCCGTTACCACAACCGTTCCCGTTGCCGTTGCCGTTGCCGCAGCAGCAGCAGCCATTGCCATTGCCGTTACCATTTCCGTTGCCGTTGCCATTCCCATTGCCGTTGCCATTCCCGTTGCCATTGACGCTGTTGTTATTCTTACCGTTGCCATTGCCGTTACCACAATCGTTCCCGTTCCCGTTGCCGTTGCCACAGCAGCAGCAGCAGCAGCAGCAGCAGCCATTGCCGTTGCCATTTCCGTTCCCGTTCCCATTCCCATTGCCGTTGCCATTCCCGTTGCCGCTGATGCTGTTGTTATCGTTACCGTTGCCATTGCTGTCACCACAACCGTTCCCGTTGCCGTTGCCGTTGCCGTTGCCACAGCAGCAGCAGCAGCAGCCATTGCCATTGCCGTTGCCATTTCCGTTGCCGTTCCCATTCCTGTTGCCGTTGATGCTGTTGTTATCGTTACCGTTGCCATTGCCGTTACCACAACCGTTCCCGTTGCCGTTGCCGTTGCCACAGCAGCAGCAGCAGCAGCAGCAGCAGCCATTGCCATTGCCGTTGCCATTTCCGTTGCCGTTCCCATTCCCATTGCCGTTGCCATTCCCGTTGCCCCTGATGCTGTTGTTATCGTTACTGTTGCCATTGCTGTCACCACAACCGTTCCCGTTGCCGTTGCCGTTGCCACGGCAGCAGCAGCAGCAGCAGCAGCCATTGCCATTGCCGTTGCCATTTCCGTTGCCGTTCCCATTCCCGTTGCCGTTGATGCTGTTGTTATCGTTACCGTTGCCATTGCCGTTACCACAACTGTTCCCGTTCCCGTTGCCGTTGCCATAGCAGCAGCAGCAGCAGCGGCCATTGCCATTGCCGTTGCCATTTCCGTTGCCGTTGCCATTCCCATTGCCGTTGCCATTCCCGTTCCCGCTGATGCTGTTGTTATCGTTACCGTTGCCATTGCTGTCACCACAACCGTTCCCCTTGCCGTTGCCGTTGCCACAGCAGCAGCAGCAGCAGCCATTGCCATTGCCGTTACCATTTCCGTTGCCGTTGCCATTCCCGTTGCCGTTGCCATTCCCGTTGCCGTTGACGCTGTTGTTATTGTTACCGTTGCCATTGCCGTTACCACAACCGTTCCCGTTGCCGTTGCCGTTGCCGCAGCAGCAGCAGCCATTGCCATTGCCGTTACCATTTCCGTTGCCGTTGCCATTCCCATTGCCGTTGCCATTCCCGTTGCCATTGACGCTGTTGTTATTCTTACCGTTGCCATTGCCGTTACCACAATCGTTCCCGTTCCCGTTGCCGTTGCCACAGCAGCAGCAGCAGCAGCCATTGCCATTGCCATTTCCGTTGCCGTTGCCATTTTCATTGCCGTTGATGCTGTTGTTATCGTTGCCGTTGCCATTGCCGTTACCACAACCGTTGCCGTTGCCACAGCAGCAGCAGCAGCCATTGCCGTTGCCATTGCCGCCGTCACCACCACCACCGCCACTGCCCCCATCTTCACCCCCCATGTGAAGCCACGAGGCCACAAGCGACCAGATGCCACCAACGCCCCCATGGACACCGCCATTCCCACCGTGCCCACCATCATTTCCTCCAAAGCTGGTGGCAGTGAGACGAGAGGCGAGAGGGTCAACGGGCAAGGGCTGTGGTGTGGAGGTGCTGAGCAGCTGAGACTCAACGGGTAAGGGCAAGGATGGTTGTGTGGTGGAGCTGAGCAGGCTGGTGGCAGTCTGAAGAGAGGTAGGAGAATCAACAGGCAAGGGCTGTGGAGAGGAGGAGCTGAGCAGGCTGCGATGTCTGAAAACGAGCGACTGGGTTTCCATGGCGTCGCTTGCAGCTTCAGACACTGCGGCTTCACTTGTCGTGCCAGCTGTCCCTGCCAGCTTGTCATGAGATGCCACGGCCAGAGATGTGCCTGGTAGAGACGCCGGAGTGGAGAAAAGAGTGTATACTTTGAGGCCTATGTATACTATTATGCAAATGAAACAGATTGCAAAGGCTAGAAGCACGTGAGATTAAGCGCCGGAAACCAAACGGATTTCAAGCTTGACATTGTTCCGACAGGACGCATGTGGTAGTTAAAGCTGAGCTGAATCAGACTCACCGAAGAAAAATAGCGCGAAAACGACCGTTGGAAACAACCAGACGAGTCGCAAACGCAGGTTGGTTGACGCAGCGGAAGCCATGGCTGTTCTTTAAGCTAGAACGGCTTACGCAGGTTGATCTTTGGCTCGAATGCAAGCTGAACAGATCTGAACTGAAGAACGACGCATTCCGTCAATTTATAGCACTTGAGAGACCTACTTCGCACCAGCAGGCTTTCCCTTTCGAGTGTTCCCATAGCGCGGCTCCGTGACAGGAGCAGGGATTCAGAGGACAAACGGAACGGCACGGCGTCCGTCACCTCATCCTGGGAAATTGGGTCGCGAAATTCTGTTTGACGGGACGCCATGGCGGACTTCCGCGCATCACAGCGTCCCGTCACGGCATCCCATTCGTGAAGCAGAAAATGTTCCAAAAGCATTGATGCGTAACTTCCGTCACTCTCGCTCCACTTGAGAGCAACCGTCCCATCATCCTGCAATTTGGCTCGAAAACGCCAGGTTGTGCTATCATCGCGAAACCACTGGCGACCGAGAAGCAATCCTTTCCGGCCCCGTAAGCGCTACGTACGAAGTCTGTGTCTAGGAGATTTCCTGGTTCAGTTTGCAGTCACGTCAACCAGCTTCGTACCTTCCAGCCACGCCTCTGAACAAAGGCCGGTTACGAGAATGAGCAGAGGTAATGGAGGGGGGGTCAGGCGAGGATAAGGGGAGGATAAGGGGAGGAAGGTGTTGGGTATGGAGGATATCTGAAATATAAAGAAGGATTGAGAGGGATTGAGAACGACCAGGAGGGGTTGGAGATTCAGCTCTGCAGGAGCATCAATATGCTGTCGTTACACGGATCCGGATTTTGGAATTGGCAGGAGGGATTCCGTTCAGTTCTTGTTGCTCCGCGGCAACCCCCCAACCCACAAGGAGCCGCAGCGCTCTTGAAGTTAGACGCTCCAGCCACTTTTTGGCGAATTCGGAACACTCAAAGACATCACACCACATTTGAAGGCACTAGAGTTGGGCTACACAAAAATAAAGTTACAAAATGTTGGCTGTAACTACAGAACCATTCTCCACATAACCATACAGACACCAAAATTCGACCAATCACAGCACAGTACTGTGCTAGACTGTATAGGGTATCACTAGCCGCTTCCTTACAACCGCCATCACACCCATAGGCTCTTTGCTTCTTGTTGCCGCCACAACGGGCACGGATGGAATTGGATAGCAAGCATGAAAACTCAGCGAGTTGCAGTAGACGTGCCCCTTCCATATCATACCAGCAATGCTGCGAATGCCGTTATCACACTCCAACCCCCACCAATCACGCCTGCACCACTCGTTGCTGGCGGCGCTGGGAGCGCAGGAAGAGAACGGCAAGCAGGAGAGCGAGGAGCGAAGCGATGTAGGCGTTGGTGTCGTCCCTCAGGGCCGCCTTCAATGCCCCCGCCGTGGCTGGGCCGATCTCAGGCAACACATCCAATGCCTTGGACTGAGAGGAGGGGGGTTGAAGGGGAAAGGGGAGGCGGGGAGGGGCAATGTATGGATTAGTGTCGTCCCTCAGGGCCGCCTTCAATGCCCCCGCCGTGGCCGGGCCGATCTCAGGCAACACATCCAATGCCTTGGACTGGAGGGGTTGAAGAGGGGAAGGGTGGGGAGAGAGGGGAGTGGGAAAGGGGCAGATGGGTGAGTGGAGCAAGGGTAGTAAAGCATAAAGCACACTCAAAGCAGTCCCTTCACAAGAGAGTAGAGCTCAAACTGCGTTCTCAGACAGAGTCCCAAAGGTTAGATCCCACGAGCCTTTATTGCACCAGAGATAGGGCTTACTTCATCAAGCCCACCTATTTCAAGTCCATAGAAGGCTAAAGAGACTCACCACAAGAGGGTAGTGCCCATACTGCATGCGCAGCTACAGGCCAAAGAGGGTCGTGCTCACAAGCCGAACGGCGCTAACTTACAGCCCACCTATTTCTAAAGCAGACTCACCACAAGAGGGTAGTGCCCATACTGCATGCGCAGCCAGAAGCCAACAGGGCCGTGCATACACCTATTGCATACACCAGCCAGAGGCCAACACGGCCAACAGAGCCATACTGCATGCACCTATTTGTAATGCAGACTCACCACAAGAGGGTAGTGGCCGTACTGCATGCGCAGCCACAGGCCGAAGAGGGCGATCTTGAGGCGTGTCAAAGCTCAACTTGTATCACGTCACGTGGCTAAGCTCACCACACTCTGAAGCAGACTCACCACAAGAGGGTAGTGGCCGTACTGCATGCGCAGCCAGAGGCCGAAGAGGGCGATTCTCACCGGCACCACTGCCCGGGGGAAGGCATCAAGAACCTGGGGTGGGGTGAGGGATGCAGAAGGAAAGGAGCGGGGGAGGGGAAAGATTTGATTTGGAAGGAGTTGGACTCCAGCTGGGCAGCCTCATGCCATGCTCGTGCATGAATCCCAGGTTGAACATGGCGTGTGCATGAATCCCAGGTTGAACATGGCGTGTGCACTGCCACTTGTACTCCCATATGCACATTTACACACACCTACCTACCTGGTCATAGAATCGTTTCGCTAGATGGAGATACAAACGATTCTCGTTTAGCCCGTGCCGTGCTCGTTTCACCTGGGTAAGCCCGTGCTGTGCTCGTGCATAAACCCCAGGTTGAACATGGCGTGTGCACTGCCACTTGTACTCCCATATGCACATTTACACACACCTACCTACCTGGTCATAGAATCGTTTCGCTAGATGGAGATACAAACGATTCTCGTTTAGCCCGTGCCGTGCTCGTTTCACCTGGGTAAGCCCGTGCTGTGCTCGTGCATAAACCCCAGGTTGAACATGGCGTGTGCACTGCCACTTGTACTCCCATATGCACATTTACACACACCTACCTACCTGGTCATAGAATCGTTTCGCTAGATGGAGATACAAACGATTCTCGTTTAGCCCGTGCCGTGCTCGTTTCACCTGGGTAAGCCCGTGCTGTGCTCGTGCATAAACCCCAGGTTGAACATGGCGCGTGCACTTCCCCTTATACTTCCACCCCAACCGTACCTGGTCGTAGAGCTGCTTAGCCAAATGCAGGTCTCTGGGCAGCCCCATGCCATGCTCGTGCATGAACGCCTTTTTTCCTTGCTCCCAGCCACACCAGGCACCATGCACCATGCACCGTGGCACCATGCACCATGCACCATGCACCATGCACCATGCACCATGCACCGTGGCACCATGCACCATGCACCGTGGCACCATGCACCATGCACCATGCACCATGCACCGTGGCACCATGCACCATGCACCATGCACCATGCACCATGCACCGTGGCACCATGCACCATGCACCATGCACCATGCACCATGCACCATGGCACCATGCACCATGGCACTGCCCCATACCTGGTCATAGAGCCGTTTGGCCAGATGCAGGTCTCTGGGTAAATCCATGCCGTGCTCGTGCATGAAGCCCAGGTTGAACACGGCGTGGGCACTTCCCCTTATGCGCCCCACCATGCTGCCCCTTATGCGCCCCACCATGCTGCCAATTCCACCATGCTCCCACCCACAAACATACCTGGTCATAGAATCGTTTGGCCAAATGCAGGTCTCTGGGCAGCCCCATGCCATGCTCGTGCATGAACCCCAGGTTGAACATGGCGTGTGCACTGCCCTTCTCCCTCGCCCTCCAGTACGCCTCTGCTGCTCGCTGCAGGTCCCGCGGCTGGCCCTGTGGGATGGGCGGGTGGGGTGACGATGATTGAACAACTTTGGAGTTGACTCAAAGTTCAAGTCGATGCAAAAGCCAGTCAGACAAGTGTGACTGAGCAAGCAAGGAATCCTTTCGCGTCAACTGACCCGGCCATAGAAGAAAGCATCACCCAGCAGCAATGCTGCCTACACGCTGCCCTGATCTTCTGCTGCTGAGGCAGCTCTTTGTGATTGAGCAACAAATGTGAGCAAACAATCCTTCTTCTCAACTCAAGCCAGCAATCTCACTCACCCGGCCATAGAAGAAAGCATCACCCAGCAGCAATGCTGCCTATACGCTGCCCTGATCTTCTGCTGCTGAGGCAGCTCTTTGTGATTGAGCAACAAATGTGAGCAAACAATCCTTCTTCTCAACTCAAGCCAGCAATCTCACTCACCCGGCCATAGAAGAAAGCATCACCCAGCAGCAATGCTGCCTATACGCTGCCCTGATCTTCTGCTGCTGAGGCAGCTCTTTGTGATTGAGCAACAAATGTGAGCAAACAATCCTTCTTCTCAACTCAAGCCAGCAATCTCACTCACCCGGCCATAGAAGAAAGCATCACCCAGCAGCAATGCTGCCTATACGCTGCCCTGATCTTCTGCTGCTGAGGCAGCTCTTTGTGATTGAGCAACAAATGTGAGCAAACAATCCTTCTTCTCAACTCAAGCCAGCAATCTCACTCACCCGGCCATAGAAGAAAGCATCACCCAGCAGCAATGCTGCCTACACGCTGCCCTGATCTTCTGCTGCTGAGGCAGCTCTCTGTGAGCGAGCAACAAATGTGAGCAAACAATCCCTCTTCTCAACTCAAGCCAGCAATCTCACTCACCCGGCCGTAGAAAAAGGCATCACCCAGCAGCAGCGCTGCCTGCCTGCACGCTGCCCTGCTCTGCTGCCAGCTGCCACAGGTGCAAGTGTGAGCAAGCAAGCATACCTAGCAGAGACTCACCCGGCCATAGAAGAAAGCATCCCCCAGCAGCAGCGCTGCCTGCACGCTGCCCTGATCTTCTGCCAGCTGAAGCAGCTCCCTCTATGCTCGAGCAAAATGTGTGAACAAGCAAGCATATAAGTAAGGACTCACTCGACCGTAGAAGAAGGCATCACCCAGCAGCAGTGCTGCCTGCACGCTGCCCTGCTCTGCTGCCAGCTGCCACAGTCGGTGCGACCTCTCATGCCTCTCCGCCTCACTGCACCGCCTCCAACCCCTCCTGCCGCTAGTGACACTATCCTTACTCCGCTCCTGCTGTTCCTTCTGTCCCTTCTGTTCATTCTGCTCCTGCTGCTCCTCCGCTCTGCCTCCCTCCCCTTGCACTACCCCACCGCCTTCTAATTCATCCCCTTGAGACGGTTCCCCACCTGTAGCACCGGCCTCTGCACCTCTTGACCCCTCTCCACCACTTGCTGACCCCTCTCCACCCACTGCGTTATTCTCATCGCTTGCAACCCCATCTGTAGCTTCCCTGTCCTTCTGAACCGCTTCAGGTGAAGCAGAGGAAGCAGAGGAAGATGAAGTGGCAGTGCTGGTGGCGGTGCTGCGAGGAGCGCCCACACACGCATTGTCCAGCACCGAGTCACCCACCACCTGCACGCAATGAACCATGGTGCAGAAGGGTTCGGATTGGTGCAATTGGGCGGTCAGCAAGAGGCTTAAGGAGCGCTCACACACGCATTGTCCAGCACCGAGTCACCCACCACCTGCACGCAATGAACCATGGTGCAGAAGGGTTCGGATTGGTGCAATTGGGCGGTCAGCAAGAGGCTTAAGGAGCGCTCACACACGCATTGTCCAGCACCGAGTCACCCACCACCTGCACGCAATGAACCATGGTGCAGAAGGGTTCGGATTGGTGCAATTGGGCGGTCAGCAAGAGGCTTAAGGAGCGCTCACACACGCATTGTCCAGCACCGAGTCACCCACCACCTGCACGCAATGAACCATGGTGCAGAAGGGTTCGGATTGGTGCAATTGGGCGGTCAGCAAGAGGCTTAAGGAGCGCTCACACACGCATTGTCCAGCACCGAGTCACCCACCACCTGCACGCAATGAACCATGGTGCAGAAGGGTTCGGATTGGTGCAATTGGGCGGTCAGCAAGAGGCTTAAGGAGCGCTCACACACGCATTGTCCAGCACCGAGTCACCCACCACCTGCACGCAATGAACCATGGTGCAGAAGGGTTCGGATTGGTGCAATTGGGCGGTCAGCAAGAGGCTTAAGGAGCGCTCACACACGCATTGTCCAGCACCGAGTCACCCACCACCTGCACGCAATGAACCATGGTGCAGAAGGGTTCGGATTGGTGCAATTGGGCGGTCAGCAAGAGGCTTAAGGAGCGCTCACACACGCATTGTCCAGCACCGAGTCACCCACCACCTGCACGCAATGAACCATGGTGCAGAAGGGTTCGGATTGGTGCAATTGGGCGGTCAGCAAGAGGCTTAAGGAGCGCTCACACACGCATTGTCCAGCACCGAGTCACCCACCACCTGCACGCAATGAACCATGGTGCAGAAGGGTTCGGATTGGTGCAATTGGGCGGTCAGCAAGAGGCTTAAGGAGCGCTCACACACGCATTGTCCAGCACCGAGTCACCCACCACCTGCACGCAATGAACCATGGTGCAGAAGGGTTCGGATTGGTGCAATTGGGCGGTCAGCAAGAGGCTTAAGGAGCGCTCACACACGCATTGTCCAGCACCGAGTCACCCACCACCTGCACGCAATGAACCATGGTGCAGAAGGGTTCGGATTGGTGCAATTGGGCGGTCAGCAAGAGGCTTAAGGAGCGCTCACACACGCATTGTCCAGCACCGAGTCACCCACCACCTGCACGCAATGAACCATGGTGCAGAAGGGTTCGGATTGGTGCAATTGGGCGGTCAGCAAGAGGCTTAAGGAGCGCTCACACACGCATTGTCCAGCACCGAGTCACCCACCACCTGCACGCAATGAACCATGGTGCAGAAGGGTTCGGATTGGTGCAATTGGGCGGTCAGCAAGAGGCTTAAGGAGCGCTCACACACGCATTGTCCAGCACCGAGTCACCCACCACCTGCACGCAATGAACCATGGTGCAGAAGGGTTCGGATTGGTGCAATTGGGCGGTCAGCAAGAGGCTTAAGGAGCGCTCACACACGCATTGTCCAGCACCGAGTCACCCACCACCTGCACGCAATGAACCATGGTGCAGAAGGGTTCGGATTGGTGCAATTGGGCGGTCAGCAAGAGGCTTAAGGAGCGCTCACACACGCATTGTCCAGCACCGAGTCACCCACCACCTGCACGCAATGAACCATGGTGCAGAAGGGTTCGGATTGGTGCAATTGGGCGGTCAGCAAGAGGCTTAAGGAGCGCTCACACACGCATTGTCCAGCACCGAGTCACCCACCACCTGCACGCAATGAACCATGGTGCAGAAGGGTTCGGATTGGTGCAATTGGGCGGTCAGCAAGAGGCTTAAGGAGCGCTCACACACGCATTGTCCAGCACCGAGTCACCCACCACCTGCACGCAATGAACCATGGTGCAGAAGGGTTCGGATTGGTGCAATTGGGCGGTCAGCAAGAGGCTTAAGGAGCGCTCACACACGCATTGTCCAGCACCGAGTCACCCACCACCTGCACGCAATGAACCATGGTGCAGAAGGGTTCGGATTGGTGCAATTGGGCGGTCAGCAAGAGGCTTAAGGAGCGCTCACACACGCATTGTCCAGCACCGAGTCACCCACCACCTGCACGCAATGAACCATGGTGCAGAAGGGTTCGGATTGGTGCAATTGGGCGGTCAGCAAGAGGCTTAAGGAGCGCTCACACACGCATTGTCCAGCACCGAGTCACCCACCACCTGCACGCAATGAACCATGGTGCAGAAGGGTTCGGATTGGTGCAATTGGGCGGTCAGCAAGAGGCTTAAGGAGCGCTCACACACGCATTGTCCAGCACCGAGTCACCCACCACCTGCACGCAATGAACCATGGTGCAGAAGGGTTCGGATTGGTGCAATTGGGCGGTCAGCAAGAGGCTTAAGGAGCGCTCACACACGCATTGTCCAGCACCGAGTCACCCACCACCTGCACGCAATGAACCATGGTGCAGAAGGGTTCGGATTGGTGCAATTGGGCGGTCAGCAAGAGGCTTAAGGAGCGCTCACACACGCATTGTCCAGCACCGAGTCACCCACCACCTGCACGCAATGAACCATGGTGCAGAAGGGTTCGGATTGGTGCAATTGGGCGGTCAGCAAGAGGCTTAAGGAGCGCTCACACACGCATTGTCCAGCACCGAGTCACCCACCACCTGCACGCAATGAACCATGGTGCAGAAGGGTTCGGATTGGTGCAATTGGGCGGTCAGCAAGAGGCTTAAGGAGCGCTCACACACGCATTGTCCAGCACCGAGTCACCCACCACCTGCACGCAATGAACCATGGTGCAGAAGGGTTCGGATTGGTGCAATTGGGCGGTCAGCAAGAGGCTTAAGGAGCGCTCACACACGCATTGTCCAGCACCGAGTCACCCACCACCTGCACGCAATGAACCATGGTGCAGAAGGGTTCGGATTGGTGCAATTGGGCGGTCAGCAAGAGGCTTAAGGAGCGCTCACACACGCATTGTCCAGCACCGAGTCACCCACCACCTGCACGCAATGAACCATGGTGCAGAAGGGTTCGGATTGGTGCAATTGGGCGGTCAGCAAGAGGCTTAAGGAGCGCTCACACACGCATTGTCCAGCACCGAGTCACCCACCACCTGCACGCAATGAACCATGGTGCAGAAGGGTTCGGATTGGTGCAATTGGGCGGTCAGCAAGAGGCTTAAGGAGCGCTCACACACGCATTGTCCAGCACCGAGTCACCCACCACCTGCACGCAATGAACCATGGTGCAGAAGGGTTCGGATTGGTGCAATTGGGCGGTCAGCAAGAGGCTTAAGGAGCGCTCACACACGCATTGTCCAGCACCGAGTCACCCACCACCTGCACGCAATGAACCATGGTGCAGAAGGGTTCGGATTGGTGCAATTGGGCGGTCAGCAAGAGGCTTAAGGAGCGCTCACACACGCATTGTCCAGCACCGAGTCACCCACCACCTGCACGCAATGAACCATGGTGCAGAAGGGTTCGGATTGGTGCAATTGGGCGGTCAGCAAGAGGCTTAAGGAGCGCTCACACACGCATTGTCCAGCACCGAGTCACCCACCACCTGCACGCAATGAACCATGGTGCAGAAGGGTTCGGATTGGTGCAATTGGGCGGTCAGCAAGAGGCTTAAGGAGCGCTCACACACGCATTGTCCAGCACCGAGTCACCCACCACCTGCACGCAATGAACCATGGTGCAGAAGGGTTCGGATTGGTGCAATTGGGCGGTCAGCAAGAGGCTTAAGGAGCGCTCACACACGCATTGTCCAGCACCGAGTCACCCACCACCTGCACGCAATGAACCATGGTGCAGAAGGGTTCGGATTGGTGCAATTGGGCGGTCAGCAAGAGGCTTAAGGAGCGCTCACACACGCATTGTCCAGCACCGAGTCACCCACCACCTGCACGCAATGAACCATGGTGCAGAAGGGTTCGGATTGGTGCAATTGGGCGGTCAGCAAGAGGCTTAAGGAGCGCTCACACACGCATTGTCCAGCACCGAGTCACCCACCACCTGCACGCAATGAACCATGGTGCAGAAGGGTTCGGATTGGTGCAATTGGGCGGTCAGCAAGAGGCTTAAGGAGCGCTCACACACGCATTGTCCAGCACCGAGTCACCCACCACCTGCACGCAATGAACCATGGTGCAGAAGGGTTCGGATTGGTGCAATTGGGCGGTCAGCAAGAGGCTTAAGGAGCGCTCACACACGCATTGTCCAGCACCGAGTCACCCACCACCTGCACGCAATGAACCATGGTGCAGAAGGGTTCGGATTGGTGCAATTGGGCGGTCAGCAAGAGGCTTAAGGAGCGCTCACACACGCATTGTCCAGCACCGAGTCACCCACCACCTGCACGCAATGAACCATGGTGCAGAAGGGTTCGGATTGGTGCAATTGGGCGGTCAGCAAGAGGCTTAAGGAGCGCTCACACACGCATTGTCCAGCACCGAGTCACCCACCACCTGCACGCAATGAACCATGGTGCAGAAGGGTTCGGATTGGTGCAATTGGGCGGTCAGCAAGAGGCTTAAGGAGCGCTCACACACGCATTGTCCAGCACCGAGTCACCCACCACCTGCACGCAATGAACCATGGTGCAGAAGGGTTCGGATTGGTGCAATTGGGCGGTCAGCAAGAGGCTTAAGGAGCGCTCACACACGCATTGTCCAGCACCGAGTCACCCACCACCTGCACGCAATGAACCATGGTGCAGAAGGGTTCGGATTGGTGCAATTGGGCGGTCAGCAAGAGGCTTAAGGAGCGCTCACACACGCATTGTCCAGCACCGAGTCACCCACCACCTGCACGCAATGAACCATGGTGCAGAAGGGTTCGGATTGGTGCAATTGGGCGGTCAGCAAGAGGCTTAAGGAGCGCTCACACACGCATTGTCCAGCACCGAGTCACCCACCACCTGCACGCAATGAACCATGGTGCAGAAGGGTTCGGATTGGTGCAATTGGGCGGTCAGCAAGAGGCTTAAGGAGCGCTCACACACGCATTGTCCAGCACCGAGTCACCCACCACCTGCACGCAATGAACCATGGTGCAGAAGGGTTCGGATTGGTGCAATTGGGCGGTCAGCAAGAGGCTTAAGGAGCGCTCACACACGCATTGTCCAGCACCGAGTCACCCACCACCTGCACGCAATGAACCATGGTGCAGAAGGGTTCGGATTGGTGCAATTGGGCGGTCAGCAAGAGGCTTAAGGAGCGCTCACACACGCATTGTCCAGCACCGAGTCACCCACCACCTGCACGCAATGAACCATGGTGCAGAAGGGTTCGGATTGGTGCAATTGGGCGGTCAGCAAGAGGCTTAAGGAGCGCTCACACACGCATTGTCCAGCACCGAGTCACCCACCACCTGCACGCAATGAACCATGGTGCAGAAGGGTTCGGATTGGTGCAATTGGGCGGTCAGCAAGAGGCTTAAGGAGCGCTCACACACGCATTGTCCAGCACCGAGTCACCCACCACCTGCACGCAATGAACCATGGTGCAGAAGGGTTCGGATTGGTGCAATTGGGCGGTCAGCAAGAGGCTTAAGGAGCGCTCACACACGCATTGTCCAGCACCGAGTCACCCACCACCTGCACGCAATGAACCATGGTGCAGAAGGGTTCGGATTGGTGCAATTGGGCGGTCAGCAAGAGGCTTAAGGAGCGCTCACACACGCATTGTCCAGCACCGAGTCACCAACCACCTGCACACGCATTGATGGTGCAGAAAGAAACGAATGGTGCAAGGGGACAGTTCGGATGGTGCAAGGGGACAGTGCGTTTACAGCAGATGGTGCATTGGAGTCTCACTGGTGGGACGGCTTAGATGTGTTTTTTGAGGCGCCTCAAAAGATGTAGATGTGGGTTCCCTCTGGTGGGACGGCTTTAGATGTGTTTTTTGAGGCGCCTCAAAAGATGTAGATGTGGGTTCCCTCTGGTGGGACGGCTTTAGATGTGTTTTTTGAGGCGCCTCAAAAGATGTAGATGTGGGTTCCCTCTGGTGGGATCCATCCATCACTGGGGAACCCAACCCACCAGGGACGGGAACATGGGGGGGGGGAGTCTCACCTTATCTTATCCAGAAGCCAGGCGGCATTCCCCTGCGCCACTTCACACCCCAACTCGGCAGCTCTAGAATAGAACATCCACAACAGCCACATCACACGATGCAGGCAGGCTAGACGGTAGGGGGAGAGGACGAGGGAGAGGACTGAGAGAGGACTTAGGATTAGCAAGGGGGAAAAGGGGGAGGGGGTCTCACCTTATCTTATCCAGAAGCCAACGAGCATTCCCCTGCGCCACTTCACACCCCAACTCGGCAGCTCTAGAATAGAACATCCACGACGTGGCCACATCACACGAAGCAAAGTGATGAACGCACTTAGACAACTGAACAATGAGAGTGTGGTGGGGAGAGGAGAAAACACCCGCCTTATCCAGTAGCCAGGCCGCGGTCCCCTGAGGTGACTTTTGAGTCGACTCAAAAGTTTTGAGTCGACTCAAAAGTCACCTCGAGAGTGTGGTGGGGAGAGGAGAAAACACCCGCCTTATCCAGTAGCCAGACGAGATTGAAGAAGAGTTTTGAGACGTCTCAAAACTCTTCTTCAATCACGTGACAACTGAACAATGAGAGTGTGGTGGGGAGAGGAGAAAACACCCGCCTTATCCAGTAGCAAGACCGCGGTCCCCTGAGCCACTTCATTCCCCAACTCCGCTGCTCTCAAGTAGAGCATCAGTGACGTTCCCACATCGTACACAGCCAGCCAGGTGAAGTGGGAGATGAGAAGGACAAGGATAGGTGAGGGAGAAGGGAAAGGATTCTCACCTTATCCAGCAGCCAGGCGGCATTCCCCTGTGCCACTTCATACCCCAACTCCGCAGCTCTCGAGTAGAGAGCATCAACGACGTTCCCACCCACATCACAAGAAGCGGGCCAGGCCGCGGGGGAACGTGTAGAGACAACTGCATTCCCCCGAGAGTGTGGTGAGGTGAGGATAAAACGCCTACCTTATCCAGCAGCCAGGCGGCATTCCCCTGTGCCACTTCATACCCCAACTCCGCAGCTCTCGAGTAGAGCATCAGCGATGTGCCCACATCACAGGAAGCAGGCCAGGCGGACGGGGAGGAAGAGGAGGAGGAGGAGCGGAGGGAGGGGGGGGAGAGCGGGGAGGAGAGCGAGAAGGAGAAGGAGAGGGAGAAGGGAGAGGAGGAGGAGGCGGAGCGGGAGAGGGACCAGAGGGAGGGGCCTTGGGTGGATGACATGAAGCATGCGTGTGCCCACCGCAGCATGACCCCCCATGGCCCCCGCTCCGCCACCGCCTTTAGAAGGCGAGCGGCCTGGGAAGGAGGGGGGGGGAGGGGGAAGGAGGGGGGGGGAGGGGGAAGGAGGGAAAGGAGAACAAAGGGAGCACAGGAGGAAACAGAAGACAGCCAGTGGAATGGCTTTTGAGACGTCTCAAAAGCAGAAGACAGAAGAACCTATTTTTGAGTCGACTCAAAAATACGTCTGAAAAGCAGAAGACAGAAGAAATAAACATGAGTTGGGACCAGTGGAATGGGAGGACAGGGATGACAGCAGAGGGAACAGAGAGGGACCCGAGGGAGGGGCCGTGGGTGGATGACATGAAGCATGCGTGTGCCCACCGCAGCATGACCCCCCATGGCCCCCGCTCCGCCACTGCCTTGAGTAGCCGCGCCGCCTCGACGAGAGCGAGGGGCAGCATGACCCCCCATGGGCAGCATGACCCCCCATGGGCTCCGCTCCTGTATTTGTGCACCCATCTCACCATAACTACATTCTTGGGAACCCCCGTCCCAGTCAAGTGCATCTTGCCCATCTGATACATGGCGCCCACGTGCTGCCACCCACTCGCCCCCTTCCCCTCTTCTGATGTGCCTAACCCCACTCCCTTATCTCACCATGACAACGTTCTTGGGTACTCTCGTCCCTGTGAGGTGCATCTTGCCCATCTGGTACATGGCGCCCACGTGCTGCCCCTCCCCTCCACCGCCTGCTGCAGTAACTGCACCGTTACAGTCACATTCGTTATAACGACACGGACACACCGCACCCTTTCCCCCATCTCACCATGACCACATTCTTGGGTACTCCCGTCCCCGTGAGGTGCATCTTGCCCATCCGATACACGGCGCCCACGTGCTCCCCCCCCCCTCCACCGCCTGCTGCAGGAACTGCACCGTTACTGTCGCGTTGCACCCTTCCCCCATCTCACCATAACCACGTTCTTGGGGACGCCTGTCCCTGTCAGATGCATTTTGACTTTTGAGACGTCTCAAAAGTTGTCCCTGTCAGATGCATCTTGCCCATCTGATACATGGCGCCCACGTGCTGCCCCTCCCCTCCACCGCCTGCTGCAGGAACTACAGCACTGCAATTAGTGCAAGAAATTCCTGTCTTTAGTCACACCCCGTCACAATCCCAACATACAGCCCCCCCAACTCACCATGACAACATTCTTCGGGACCCCAGTCCCTGTCAGATGCATCTTGCCCATCTGGTACATGGCGCCCACGTGCTGCCCCTCCACCGCCTGCTGCAGGAACTGCAGCGCCTTGCTGGGATTGCGCCTCACGCCCTGCCCTCTAAGGTGGCTCATTCCCAGATTGTACAACGCGTCCACGTCCCGGGTCTTCCGGGCAGCCGTGAGAAAGTTTTGCACCGCCTGGGAAGAGAAGAGGAGGACCATCCAAAAAGAAGTGAGATAGAGGGGTAAGAAAAGAGCAAACAAAGAGGAGGAAAGGGGGAGTGGCGGTAAGGAGAGGAATAAGCGCGCTCACAAGCCCATGGCACCAACTCAGACGTACCCCTTCAGAGAAATCTCAAATTCGACTCAAGGCTTACCTTGTGGTAGTCCTGAGGCACACCCCAGCCTCTTGGCGTGCAGACATCCCACTCCGTTCAGTGCGCTCATGAACCCATCCCACCGCATCCCACCGCATCGGTGGTGATAGTCACTGCATCACACACACCCACCTTGTGGTAGTCCTGAGGCACCCCCAGCCCTTTAGCGTGCAGGTATCCCACTCCGTTGAGCGCGCTCACGAGCCCGCGTGCATACGCCTTGTTGAACCACACCATTGCCTCCACGGGGTTGGCCTTGCAGCCCACACCGTGTGTGAGCATCTCGCCAAGAGTCAACATGGCCTGTTGCGGAGGGCGATTGTGTAAAGGGAGTTTAAAATGACGTAAGGTCACAAGAGGAGAGGGACCCGCGTGCATAGGCCTTGTGGAACCACGCCATTGCCTCCACGGAGGTTGCCTTCACCCCCACTCCGTGTGTGAGCATCTCACCCAGCGTCAACATGGCCTGTTGGGGGTAGTGAGTGAGTGAGAGGGGTGAACAGAGGGGAGGGAGAGGGGGTTTGGCAGAGGGTGAGTGAGAGAGCCCACGGACAGGATGAAATAGATATCGGCATCCTGTCCATGGGCTCTCACGGAAACGGCATACATGATGTTGCTTGCAGGGTGTTTTTGAAAATTCTCTTTTTGAGGCGCCTCAAAAATCCCCTGCAACGAAATAGATTTTGGCATCCTGTCTGTGGGCTCTCACGGAAACGGCATACATGATGTCTTAACGGTTGCCATGAATGTTGCAGGGCATTTTTTAGAAAAAAAAAAAAAAAAAAAAAAAAAAACCATGAACAGGATGAAATAGATATTGGCACACATGATGTGATGCCATGAATGTCACATGAATTATGGTATTATGGTATGATGGCATGATGCCATGATGCCATGATGCCATGATGCCATGATGCCATGATGGTATGATGCCATGATGCCATGATGGTATGACGCCATGATGCCATGATGGTATGATGGCATGATGGTATGATGCCATCATGATGGTATGATGCTATGTAACGCCTTGCTGATTTATCCTCTCTCTCCTCTCTCCTCCCTCCAGCTCTCCTCCCTGTCGTCTCCCCCACGCACATGCGGGTCGTCCATCTCAGCGGCTTTCTTCATCAGCCCAAACGCCCTCACGTGGTCCCGCGGCATGCCCCGTGCCCCCCAGTAGTACAGCGTGCCCAGCGTGCGAATGGCCTCCACCGCTCCCCGTGATGCCTGCAGCTCGATGAACTGGGAGGGGAAGGGGGGGACGGATAGGTGGAAAGGGGGGAAGCAAAGGACGGGGCGAGTGGGTTAGAGTCCCGCGGCATGCCCCGTGGCCCCCAGTAGTACAGCGTGCCCAGCGTGCGAATGGCCTCCACCGCTCCTCGTGACGCCTGCAGCTCGATGAACTGTTTTGCGGGGAGGGAAGGAAGGGCGGCAGCAGGTTATTACCACATGCCCCGTGCCCCCCGGTAGTACAGCGTGCCCAGCGTGCGGATCGCCTCCACTGCTCCCCGTGATGCCTGCAACTCGATGAACTGGGGTGGGGAGGCGGAAGGAGGTATGGGGGGGGGGGGGTAAAAGGGGGAGTTGGAATGGAATCCCGCCCCATGCCCCGCGCCGCGCACCCCACCATGTCAAGCGTGCCAAGCGTGCCAAGCGTGCCCAGCGTGCCAAGCGTGCCAAGCATGCCCAGCATGCGAATGGCCTCCACTGCTCTGCATGACGCCTGTACCTTGACGACACCAACACAACACCCTAGAATCCTTCACGAATCACAACCACTCAAAACCGTCGATTCCACTCACCTGAATGGCTTCATCCGCCTCTGCCCTGTGCCCTCTGCCCTGTGCCCTCTGCCCTGTGCCCTCTCCCCTGTGCCCTCTCCCCTGTGCCCTCTCCCCTGTGCCCTCTGCCCTGTGCCCTCTGCCCTGTGCCCTCTGCCCTGTGCCCTCTCCCCTGTGCCCTCTCCCCTGTGCCCTCTCCCCTGTGCCCTCTGCCCTGTGCCCTCTGCCCTGTGCCCTCTCCCCTGTGCCCTCTCCCCTGTGCCCTCTCCCCTGTGCCCTCTCCCCTGTGCCCTCTCCCCTGTGCCCTCTCCCCTGTGCCCTCTCCCCTGTGCCCTCTGCCCTGTGCCCTCTGCCCTGTGCCCTCTCCCCTGTGCCCTCTCCCCTGTGCCCTCTCCCCTGTGCCCTCTCCCCTGTGCCCTCTCCCCTGTGCCCTCTCCCCTGTGCCCTCTCCCCTGTGCCCTCTCCCCTGTGCCCTCTCCCCTGTGCCCTCTCCCCTGTGCCCTCTCCCCTGTGCCCTCTCCCCTGTGCCCTCTCCCCTGTGCCCTCTCCCCTGTGCCCTCTCCCCTGTGCCCTCTCCCCTGTGCCCTCTCCCCTGTGCCCTCTCCCCTGTGCCCTCTCCCCTGTGCCCTCTCCCCTGTGCCCTCTCCCCTGTGCCCTCTCCCCTGTGCCCTCTCCCCTGTGCCCTCTCCCCTGTGCCCTCTCCCCTGTGCCCTCTCCCCTGTGCCCTCTCCCCTGTGCCCTCTCCCCTGTGCCCTCTCCCCTGTGCCCTCTCCCCTGTGCCCTCTCCCCTGTGCCCTCTCCCCTGTGCCCTCTCCCCTGTGCCCTCTCCCCTGTGCCCTCTCCCCTGTGCCCTCTCCCCTGTGCCCTCTCCCCTGTGCCCTCTCCCCTGTGCCCTCTCCCCTGTGCCCTCTCCCCTGTGCCCTCTCCCCTGTGCCCTCTCCCCTGTGCCCTCTCCCCTGTGCCCTCTCCCCTGTGCCCTCTCCCCTGTGCCCTCTCGTCGCCTCCAGGCTCTCCTCCCCACCAGCGCTCAGATGCACTGTCTCTATCAGCGGCGCCTGCCCACCCTAACACACCCTACCAACCCCCACGGCCCCCACGGCCCCCACAGCCCCCACAACGACTCAAACGTCATTGCCTTGCACTCACCTGAATGGTCTCGTCCGCCTCTCCCCTGTGCCCTCTGGTCGCCTCCAAACTCTCCTCCCCTCCCGCGCTCAGATGCACCGTCTCTATCAGCGGCGCATGCCCGGAACGGTCTCACGCCCTACCATGTGTGCCACTGGCTCACCTGAATGGTCTCGTCCGCCTCTCCCCTGTGCCCTCTGGTCGCCTCCAAACTCTCCTCCCCCCCCGCGCTCAGATGCACCGTCTCTATCAGCGGCGCCTGCCCCGGGAGGCTGTTGACCGCCATTGACTTGGCTGCCACGTCAGCGTAAAGCGCCGCGGCGCGCTCAAACTCCTGCTGGCGGAGGTGCGAGAAGGCGAGGGCCATCTTGGAGTGCACGCTGCCTCCATTGGCAGCGAACGTGTGGTGCAGAAACGCTTTCACCTGGAAGAGGAGGGTTTGGGAGGGGTAGGGAGGGGTTGCAAAGGGTAAAAAAGGAGTGCTGAGTTACCCCACATGAGACATCTCGCCCCCCCTACTACATGCCATCCCCTTCCACGCTCAAACTCCTGCTGGCGCTGGTGTGAGAAGGCGAGGGCCATCTTGGAGTGCACGCTGCCTCCATTCGCGGCAAACGTGTGGTGCAGACACGCTTTCACCTGGAGGGGGAATGTTTAGGGATGGGTAGGGGTGGGTGGGGACGGGTAGGAAGGGGTTGGGAAGGGTAAAATGGTGGTGAGAAAACCTAGCAGGAACATTTCGCCCCCGCCTACCTCCATGGCATCTCCATCTCAAGCTCGAACGCCCAATCTCAAACTCCTGCTGGCGGAGCTGCGAGACGACCAGGGCCATCTTGGAGTGCACACCGCCTCCATTGAAATCAAAAGTGATTTCAAAAGTGATTTCAAAAGTGATTTCAACATAGGCGCGGAGGTGCGAGAAGGCGAGGGCCATCTTGGAGTGCACGCTGCCGCCACTCGCGGCGAACGTGTGGTGGAGAAACGCTTTCACCTGAAGAGGGAAGGGGGAGGAGGGGGTTAAGGAGGAACAGAGAGGGGTGGGGAGGGGTAGGGAGGGGTAGAGAGGGGTAGGGAGGTGCTGGGATTTCCGAAAAAAGTACACTTCGGACCCCCTACTGTCTTGTCCTTCCGGACCTTCCCCCACCCCCTCTCCCAGATGACTTTTGAGTCGACTCAAAAGTCAGCAGGGAGCTTCTCCTGCTGGAGGAAGTGCGAGAAGGCGAGGGCCATTTTGGAGTGCACGCTGCCGCCACTCACGGCGAACGTGTGGTGCAGACACGCCTTCACCTGATTGGTGGAAGGGGGGATACGGGGAGGGACGGAGAGTTGTAGAGAGGGGTAGGGAGGGACGGGGAGGGGATGAGGAGGATCTGGGAGGGGTTGGAAGGGATGGGGAGGAGGGGGGTGCTGAGAGTATCATGTTCCATTTTGGATTCCTCCTCTCTCCCCCCCCCTGCCTCCCTCTCTCCCCCACCTCCTCTGCATCGCTGTGTCTTCTTCTCCCCCCTTGAGTATCCACCCTCCATGTCCTCCCTTTCCCCCACCTGGTTCAGCGGAACGCCATATCCGCTCGCGTGGAGGAACCCCAGCGCGGAGTGCGCGTGGGGGAAGCCCTTTTCCGCGGACCGTTCCAGCAGCAGCAGCGCCTTGGGAATATCCCGCGCCACTCCCCCGCGCCCCCCCGCGCCCACCAGCCGCTTCACCCCCAGCGCCCACAGCGCCTCCGCGTCCCCCTGCTCCGCGCGCCGGCGAACGTCCGCCAATGGCATCTCGACAGCTGTCCGCCACGATCCCGGATCCAACGGCTCCTGTTTATACTTCTCCACCAGCGGATCGTCCGCCATTGCCGCTAGCGCCGCCGCCGCCGCCGCTTCCGCCGCTGCCGCTGCCGACTCGGGTGATTTGACGGCTTTAATCGCCTCGCCTCGCTTAGGCTCGTCGCTATCCTTCTTCGCTTTCTTAGATCCTCCTGGGGTTCCTGCTTCTGCCGAATCTGCTCCCTCCCGCTTCGGATCATCCTCGCCGTCCGTTTCCTCCAGATCATCGTCATCGTCGTCCCAATCGTCGCCGCCCGTTTTAATCACGTACGTCTTGCCGTTCTTCCTGATGAATGTGATCTTAGCGGAGCGAGCGACAGTCGCGAAGAGCAGCAGTAGCACGAGAAGAAACACCGCGAGCGACAAGGATGACGTGCTCCGTCTTGTTCGCGAAACGCTGGCAACCAGATTAGCCATTGCAGACTGTCTTTTCCCCGAACCAACGGCGACCAGCGAATCCAGACGTTGGGATACGTCCTCAATCCCAGGGTAAGGCTCACTCTAGGAGACGCCTCGAAGCGTTCTCACTTCTGGGAACGACCTATCAAGTCGCAGCCGCCAGCGCTTCGTTTCAGAACAATCCTACTTTCATGGGCCTCTCGGAGGCAAAACCAGCAGCACACTTGAAGCTATGGCGAATGGTGGAGTTTTATAGCACTGGTGGACGGGTGCCGAACTCCAAACTTCAGAAAGGTTTGAGACGGTACTCTAATCTTCCGTCAGTTTATACTACGATGCAGTACGGTAACCGTCAGATTTTGAGAGAAAAATCAGGTGTTTTTGCTGCAAATTCGCAAGCTACTGAACTGGACAGACCAGGAGTGTTGAGATGGGAAGGCGAAGAGCCGGTTGTCGGCAAGCAGACCGATGATTGGCGTAGACTTGACGATGACGTGCTCAGCAGTCTGCTCCGCAGAGGCTCCCTAGAGTTTGAAGGTCGGGCAGGTTTCCAGAAATGCTGGAAAAGGAACGGGGCGTGCAGTGGTTCATTTGTTTATGCAATAAGCATAAAAATCACATGTCTGAACCCGGAATCGAACCGGGGACCTCCAGTGTGTGAGACTGGCGTGATAACCGACTACACCATCCAGACATGCCTATGCGAGGGGACTTCCTACTAAAACTGATGGCTCTACTGCTCACACTCCGCAGCTTGCATCAGCTTAGTCGCAGCACTTCGTCGCAGCAACAATGGCTTCCCCAATGCGATCTCTCGCGTCAGCCTTCAGTCGCCGCCTCGTCGGCCCGCAAGCATCGGCTCTCTCGCTTCGAGGAGGCGCGGGAGCGCGTCTCGGCTTCGGACGTCCACCCGCTTCTGAGGCACGTTCTTCTGTTCTCTTTTCCCTGAAGTCGCCGAGTCTTGCGCGTCTGTAGTCCACTTTTGAGACGCCTCAAAAGGCTTCCGATGCACGTTCTTCTGCTTTTTTTCCAAACTCGCCCAGTCTCGCGCGACTGTAATCTCCATCTGCTTGAATCAACGTTCCCGACGCGACTTCCTGTCGACTTCAAAGCGACCTCTGTTGCCGCAACAACCGTTGCATTCAATTGCGGACGGAAGTCTAGACGATCCCCGATGTCCGATGGCCGATGAGCGATAACTAATGCTTGATGGTCGATGACCGATCGCCGATAACCCGCTGAATCACCCTCTCCGTGTCTCTATACTCGTCATTTTCGCCTGAAATCTTCTTTTTCTTCTCGGATCGTGTACTCGCGTTTCTTGACGGTTGGTTCCCTGAATCATCTCGCGTCGCGTGTCGCATGCAAGACAAGACTTCCAGAACCTTTTCAGTCTCCTTGATTTCTCTTCCCGCATATTCCTGACCCTCACTTCTCTTTTCCCGATATCTTGTTCATCGATTCCCCACGCCCTACCACTCCGTGCCTCTTTCCCGACCGCCTCTTTCCCGACCGCCTCTTTCCCACCTGCCTCGCCCTCCCTGCCTCTCTCCTTCGTTGCCTACCCTCCCACCTTCTCCCCTCCCACCTTCTCCCCTCCCACCTTCTCCCCTCTCCTTGCAGCTACCAGAGAGCGATGACGTGGTATGACGGCACGGCACGCCCAACCAGCCTCTTTCCCCCCTCCTTGCCTCTCCTCTCTCGCTGCCTCTCTGCCTTATTGCAGCTACCAGAGAGCGATGAGCTGACTTGGTATGATGGCACGCCCAACCCTGAGACGGCTACAGACACCATCCTGCCGAACCTGCCGTCTGTGAGTCTCCCCTGCCGTCTGTGAGTCTCCCCTGCCGTCTGTGAGTCTCCCCTGCCGTCTGTGAGTCGCCCCTGCCGTCTGTGAATCGCCCCTGCCGTCTGTGCATCGGATATTACCTGCCAGCTATCGTCCTGTTTCCAATCAATCCTCAATCTCCTCCGTCCGGCCTCTCCTCTCCCCTCTCCTCTCCCCTCCCCCTCCTCTCTCCCTCCCCTCTCCTCTTTCCTTTCCTATTCCCTCTCCTCTGCTTTCTCCTCTCCCCTTTCTCCTAACCAACCACCACAGACAACAGCACTGCAGTGGCTAGCAGCAGGCCTGTCAGTGTTTGCCCTGGTGGGTCTTGCTGCAGTGGTCAACGACAAGCCCTCTCGAATCCCCTGGGTACGTGCTCCTGAGCTTCACACTCCATTTTTTGTGCCTACATCGCACTCGCACTTCTTATTTCTGTTCGCGTCCTCCCGTTGTTATAGATTCCTGCCATTTCCACCGCCTCTCCTGGCTCCCTGTAAGTTCCCTTGGATAAGACATATATGAGATACTCCCTCACACTTCCCCACCCGCCTACAGGCTGCCCGTGAGTTCCCGTATGACGATGGGCTTCCTGAATGCACCAAGGACAAGCTGCCGGCTTGAGCAACCTCTGTGTCCCTTGCATTGCATGTCTACCTCTCACAACCCCTTGCAACCCCCCGCAACCCCTCGCAACCCCTCGCAACCCACCCACCCGCCCTACAGGCTCCTCGTGAGTTCCCGTATGACGATGGGCTTCCTGAATGCACCAAGGACAAGCTGCCCGCCTAACCCTCAACAGAACACCAGCACCTGCTATACCCACCTACCTGATCATGCATACGATCAATCAATCCCATGATGCCTGCTACTGCCACCCCAGCCGTCAATGCTGAGTTTGTGAAGCCATTTCTGTTGACTGCCATGCCATGGCATAGTGGTTTTGTCTTCCATTCAACCTGCTACAATTTACCAGGATTAGTATTTCGATTGTACCATATCTTAACTGTAGTTGTCCATTCATGTCCATGTTTTAATCACAAGCCTGTTAGAGAAACTTTCAATCCTATCTGAATGGTGACTTGAATTGGAAACATGTGCTTTGTGCTCCCATCAAAATGCACAAGAAAAAACATACGTCTAAATGACAGTCTAAATAACACATCAACTATCAGCAACTTTCAATAAATGCTACTGGGCAAGGCAGGGCGTTGTTAGGCCTCAAAGGGGGCAAACACGACCACCGAGTTGTGACCTCCAAAGCCAAACGAGTTGGAAATGCCTGAAGCGTACACGGTCAATGGAAGGACAGCGAGTGGGAAGGGAGGGGAAGGGGAGAGGAGGGCGAGAGGGGGGGAGAGGAGGGCGAGAGGGGGGGAGAGGAGGGCGAGAGGGGGGGAGAGGAGGGCGAGAGGGGGGGAGAGGAGGGCGAGAGGGGGGGAGAGGAGGGCGAGAGGGGGGGAGAGGGGGAAGGGGGAGAGGAGGGCGAGGGGGGGAGTGGGGTAAGGGAGGTGGTGTTGAATGACAAAAGTACATCCAATACAGGTTGTAGATCCTAACAAGGTTCAGAGGGTGTGAACTGGAACTCCACCACACCAGACGTGCACGGATGCATGCATGCACCATGGTGCAGAACGAGGTGCCTTTTGAGTCGACTCATAAGCCACCTCAAGGTTCTTTTGAGGCGCCTCAAAAGTCGCCTCAAAAGCCACTACGACAACAGACGTGCATGGATGCATGCATGCACCGTCGTGCAGAACGAGGTGCCTTTTGAGTCGACTCATAAGCCACCTCAAGGTTCTGAGAAAGTGACCAGGCGTTCCACCACGACAGTAGACATGCATGCATGCATGCACCGTCGTGCAGAACGAGGTGCCTTTCAACTCACCAACGTTCACTTTATGCTGCTTCTTCTCATTCGCCACCGTGTCAAAGGTGACTGACTCCTCCAGGTCCTGTTACCAAAAAAAGCAAGAATAAAAACATGTAAAAATATAAACATATACAAATGCACATTTATAACACAAGAAAAAGTGAAAAGTTGTGTAGGACAAGTCTTCATGCAAGACAAATCGGGCACTCACAGAATCAACTCAAATAAAACCTCACGAATTGGTTGATGGTCGGGTGCAGCCATCCCGTCTCAATCGCCTTGATCACTGCAATCGCCTATCGAGTCTTCCAACACAGTGACGTTGGATGGGGTGCATAGTACCTCTCAAACAGATCAGGGCACGCAGCACTGGCAGCGCGAAAGGACTCACGAATTGGTTGATGGTCGGGTGCAGCCAGCCGGTCTCAATCGCCTTGATCACCGCGATCGCCTCCAGCCCTCCAGCAGCGCCCAGACAATGACCAATCATGGACTGCCACGTGTACAGGGGAGATGGCGTGAGAAGGGTAGAAAAACAAGTCCACTCATGTGCTCAACTCGAGAACCTTATCGACATTCATGCAACTTGTTTTAGTGTACAACTTCCAAGTATACTCGCTTATAAGGTGCTTCAGTAAGCGGACTCCCACTGACCTTGGTGCCATTGAGCTTGATCTCGCTGGTATCCTTAACACCTTTTTTATCGGAGTGTGCACCATCTATGTCTATACTCGCTATGAAGTGTTCCACTACTCACCTTGGTGCCATTGAGCTTGATCTCGCTGGTATCCTTGAACACCTTCTTGATAGCATTCACCTCTGCCACGTCACCCACAATGGTGGAGGTAGCATGGCAGTTGATGTAGTTCACCTGGCGGCAAGGCACAACGGGAAGGAAGACGATGGGAGATGAAGGGGAAGGAAATGGGAGAGGGGGGAGGCAGGGGAGCTGGTTCATCGCTGGTGTCCTTCAACACCTGCTTGATTGCGTCCACCCGGGTCGTGGCGGACCGGGTGAACACGATGGTGGACGTGGCAAGGCAGTTGATGTAGTTCACCTGCAGGCACAAGGGGGTAGGGAAGAAAGGGCATGGAGGAGATGGGGGATGGGGGACGAATTCACGCGCATGATTTGGGGACCCTTCAACGCAACAAGGCCACAAAGGGGAGGTAAGCACTGGGAGACAGGTGTGGGGGAAGGCAGGACAAAAGGGACCTACCTCATCTGGGGAGACCTCTCCATCAGCAGGAGCGCTGAGGATCAGGTGGACACACCCAGCCCGTCAAGGGGAGAACGAGGAGGGGGGGAGAGAAGAGGGGGAA